TTGGGTGGATGGCTCCTGCCTGCACAGCTGCTACCAGCATTCTTGCAACTGACCAGGTTGCTGGTCGTGGGCAAACTTCACCTTGTAGACTCTTCCCAAAACAGGCTCCCCTGCTGGGTCTCTAAGCATTTTAATGCCTTCCAGCTCCTGAGAGGTATGTGCTCTTGGAGCGAATGTTTGTTCTCTGTGTGTGGGATACCTGTATCCATGGCTTTATACACTCACGTGTGTCCATGTTGGGCCCATACAAAAACAAGGACCTGGGTACCTCTGAAAGCTGAAGACAGGCCTGGGGGCAGGCCAGCTCCACAGCAGGTGCACAGGACCTGCCAAGCCTTTACCCCTGGGCATCAACTGAGGTGGCAGCATGCTGAGGCTGCCTACAGCCTGCAGTACTGTGCTGTCTGTGGCTTGGGCTGGATTGGCTCGAGCAAGGGAGCTCATTGAGGGGAGGGAGGCTGGACCTTTGGTCTGTTGAGCCACACATTGCACAGAGTTGTCCATTTTCCCTGTGTGGATTAAGCAGGAGTTCCCAGAGTTCTTGACTTTTTTTTTTTTTCCAAATAACCCCTTACACTGTATACTGGTAGGGTGTTGGTTTCATTCACTGGTGCCTTGGAAGGCACGGAGAAGTGGTCTGGAACCCCAAGTTGCAGGGTCTTGCCCCCGGTGTCCTAATTCACCCAGAAGGGTCAGAGTCAGTAGTGACAGTAAGACCCGGCAGCCCCATTCCTAGATGTGCCCAGAAGTGGCTGAATCAAAGCTAGAGGAGACATGCATAGTTCTGCTACCGCCAAGAGGCAGTGACCGACCACCAGGTACTATTGGTGGAGGAGTCTCTGTAGCTGGTGAGATGGCAAACCAGCCTTGAAGGATACTCCTCTGCCTCATGTTACCTCATGATAAACTTTAAACACACGTGATGAAAAAAGACAGATACAAAAAGCTTCAGCGCTTGTAACTGAATTGGCGTGAAATGGCCAGAACAGACAAATCCATGGAGACAAAGCAGATTAGCTGTTGCCAGGGCCGGGGGAGAAGGGCTGCTGGGGGAAGAGATGATGAAATGCTCGGGAATTAGTCGGAATGGTTGTACGGTGCTAGGAATGTGCCTAAGCCCCCCGAGGTGCACTCAGCGTGGTTAACATGGTGAGTTATGTTAATTCTGCCTCCTTTCCTCTCACAGGCTCACACATGCCTCTCCAGGGGATCTTGTGGTTGGGCCAGTCTCAGGAAGTATCTAGTTGGGGCACTGGGAAAGGATCTCTGGTCCTACAGACCTGAGGAGCGTTTGTCTGTGATCAGGTCGTGGTGGACGCAGAGGCCGTAGGCTCTGCACCAGCTGTGTCGTGCCCCAGGTCTCTTGGTTGCCTAGCCTTCCCGTTTCTCCCTGGGCACACTGCTGGCAAGAGGGAGATGAACTTGGACGTAAATCTAAGACTTCCTTGCACCTCCAAGGTCCAATCCCTTCTCCCTCATTTTAGACAGGACTCTTGATGATGCCTGCAGAAGCGGCCCAATGATCAGGGGAGGGGACAAGAGGACCCAGGAGGATTTATAACCACAGACCCGGCCCTTACCCAGGGTCCTGAGGCCTCTGCTCTCAGGCTGTTCAGGAATCAGGGTGTCATGAGCTGGCTGGGTGCCTATAAACAGCTTCGTTCCCTCATGTTGATTCTAAAAATTGGAAGCTCTGAAGTGGTCTTGTTTGGCTGGGTGGCAGGGATATAGAGGACCACCTCCTGCCTGTCTCACCTCCTGTAGCTACTACATCTAGGCCTGCCTTCATCCCCCAAGCTGACCACTCCCAGCCCGTGAGTTCCTGATGACCCCTGACCAGTAGGCCCGACTTCCATGAGGGTCTCCGTCTCCTGCAGTGGTCACATCACGTGACCCCTTCAGGCTCACCTCTTCATATCAAGGATCTTCATCTCATCTGTAGAACCACCTGCCATATGAGGTCACATCACAAGGACGGAAGGTTAGGATGGAGCCTTTTTTGTGCCTTCATCAGCCAGTCACACTGGTTTCTGGATCCCCAAGGTGTCATGTGTTTACCTAAGAGGGCCCTGTCATGGATGCTGAACCCTAGCTCTACTGTACCAGCATTCATTGGACCACCTCTGCAGGCTGATGTGGGGGATGACAGAAGGCCCCACCTACTCAGCGTGGTGACTTTTCCCTTTTTCAGCACACCAGGCTTTCTTCGGCAGCTGTTAGGAGTCCTGTGGAAACCAGTGTAGCCTGGGGTGCTGGTGGACTGGCACTGGCAGCTTCTAGAAGCTCCCTATGGGGCTGAGAGCAAAATGAAAATCCGTAGGCAGTGTCATGTGACCTGTGCTCCTGTTTCAGCACTAACTGCTGACAATATTCTTTTCCTTGCTTCTCATGAATTACTCTGGACCAGGACATACTGTTTTCTCACGTGGTCAAAGCCAGAGACCCTGTGCCAGCAACGTGGCCACTCCCATAAGCTGCCTCACATGATCCAGAACTTTTATAAGCTTCTGAGGAGAGTTCCCATCATACACTGCAGGGAAGAACAGAACAGCTGTCAGGAAGCCCCTGATGGATAAGTGCACAGCCAGCTGGAATGAAGGGAGAAGGCTCGAAGGCATGGATGCTCCAGCATGGTGCCCTGCAACCCCTCACCACCACCTGCAGAATCCCCAGGGTGCCTGTGCACACCTCCTTGGCTGTCTTCTGCTCAGTACCTTGGCACTGGCTGTACCGGGCTGCGCAGAGGGTGGCTGCCCACCCTCCTCTGGTTGCAGATGGTACCCTGCAGGGTGCCCCCTCCACAGCTTGGGAAAGGTCACGCAGCCTTGGGAGGCCTGCAAGGGAGTGGATATCAAAGCCCCAAAGAATTAAGAGATCATGGAATTTTACAGCTTAGTGGCCAATTTCTAAGTCATGCACACTAATGGGCAGCTAATGAGGGACCCTGGGCAGGGGCAGGAGAGTGCTCTGAGTCCCTGAGCCTGATTAAGGAGTACAAAGCTTTAGCCACGGTCTGGCCAAGCACTTTTCTTTTCCTTCGGAGGCTGGGAGGAGGGACGCGTGGGGGTGGGCTGTTGAGCTCCCTGGCTCCTGGAAGGTATGGTTTGACACCGGGTCACTTATATGCTACTGTGTGTGGCCCCTCTCTCTGCCAGCCTGGACTCCTGCCCTGGATCCTGATTAATGTCCATAGTATCCATCTCCATCGTCCCCAGGTTTAACAACCCCACTCTAGTGAAGAGGATGTGGAGTCGAAAGGTTTTATACAGCTGGGCATGGTCTCTGAGCACCAGATCCCAGGCCAGCATGTGAAAACCAGTCCATAATAGTCATGGAGCACCAGTAACCCCATGGGGAGACCAGAGGGAGCACTCTCCAGGTCCTGCTGACGTCAGACTTGAGTCTCCAGAATGAGAGCTAAATCTGATCAAGCCTCCGAGCCTATGGCATCTACTTACAGCTGCCCTAGGAGCTTTCGCAGGGGGAGACCTGGTGACTTTACCATTCTTCCTGGAGTTCCTTCCTTCCTCGGTCCTTCCTTCAATACTTCCTGTGTGCTGACTCTTGTCAGCACAGGGCAGGGGGCCAGTGGAATCACAGACTCCCCAGGCAGTCCCGCTGAGAGGCTGTCAGGCATTTAGCGAGCGCCAGCTGTGTGGAGCCTCAAGGAAGTCACCAAGTCAGGGTTGAGAGACTAGAAACACTAGAGGAAACAGCACTTTGGGGGCATCCCTGACAGACAGGCTGATTGGACAGAGACGATTGTTGGAAAACGGTTCTCAGCAGGGTCCCTTGGCCAGCAGCAGGAAACGTATTAGACAGACAGGTAGATTCTCAGACCCCATCCCAGGTCCACTGAGGCAGAAATGCCAAGGACGGACAGACTGGCCACTTGTGTGCAGAAGAGGCCTCCAGGGGATTCCCCAGAAGCGAGTTTGATCTTGACTTCTTGACGTGAGTTTTCCAGAGGCAGCTTAGCCACACATAGGTTCAGAGCATCGAAGGTTGCCCTTTTGCTCAGTGTAGCTCCCTCCTGGAACTCTTGGCATCAAGACCCTCGGGCTTCCCCACAGTGGAGGCAAGCAGTCTGCCTTTCCATAAGGTTCATCCGAGGCTCAGGGTTAGTTTGAGGAGCACCCACCACTGGCGTTGTAAGAGGCAGGGAGAGGACCCTTCCACAGACGGACCTCCATGAGACATCCTGTCAGTGACAAGACAATGAGTGACGGTGATAGACTCAGCCCAGTGCCTTCCACGACCCTCCCCCAGACTAGAGGTAGAGGGGCTGCTCAGGGAGGGCCGAGGTTCTGAAGAAACCCACCCGGACCTGCAGTGGTTGGGTGCCTGGCCATAATGGAGCCCCACTCTGCTCTATCCAGTAAGCTGCGGACAAAGCCACACCCCAGGGAGGGGCCTCTGCAGGTCGCAAGAATTAAGACGTCCTGATCAGGTCCGTTGCAAGCTTCTGGGACAGGTGGTCTTGATCCGTCCTCTCTGTCCTTCAGACTTGAATCGTTAACCCAGCACATGCCCTCTTGGGCCCAGCCGCCACTCAGGGCCCCGGTGATGCAGCCAAAGCACGGAGAGGAAGCCGAAATCCCAGTTTGCTGACCCAGGACCGTGGGGTACCTTGCTGGATTTGGTAAGGATTAGGGCTTTGGGAGCTCACATTGGAAGGGTGGTTGTGGGTAAGAGCTGGAAAGTAAGCATCCACCAGGAGAGAAAGCTAGGGCTTTAGAGGAAAAGGGGAAGGGGGGGGATGAAGTCAGGGTCGCCTTGGGATTAGAGGGAGAATGGGAGAGAGAAGAAATGTAAAATGTTAGAGGGTCCGGGGTAAATGAACATGAACCCCTTGGGAAGAGGGGAGTGGAGACTGAGGAGGATGGGGTGAGGAGGACCACAGTTGCCCTGTCTCGTGCTGACGTGGGCTTGAGACGTAATGGATGCGGAAGGAAGGTTTGACGCTTGCCTTCCCTCTCTGTCCCTCTGCTGCCCCAGCCATGGAAGGACAGACCAGAGGGAGCAGAGGCCTTCAGGAGAAGCCTCTCTCTGCCACCCCCAATCCTACTCTGTCCTCACTGGGCGCCGTGTTCATCCTCCTGAAGTCCGCCCTGGGTGCCGGCCTGCTCAACTTCCCCTGGGCCTTCCATAAGGCAGGAGGCCTGGTGCCCACCTTCCTGGTGGCACTGGTGAGTCAGGCTCTTCTGGGCGGGGTCCTCGGGGTTCCTTCTGTAAAGCTGACCGTCTTGTGCGTGGTATCGCGGAATTTTATTTCCGAGCCCCTGCATCGGGGAGACATGACCTACTCTCAGTGGGTCACATATGTACAAGAACTGTCCCACCGAGTCTCCGCGGGCTCTTCGGGGTAGGATGAGATCCGTCATGCCCTGAAGTATTCCCCGGGGAAGAAAAGCACCAAGCTGCAGGTGCACACACTTTTAGAAGAAACCCGTACCAGAGCAGGACAGTACTGGATATGGGGCAGGGTGGGACTGTGTGCCGAGGGGCTCAGCTTGCACATCCTAGAACCACACAGGCCCCTCTGTAGCTCTTTTTGTGTAAGTTTGGCCCCTGAGAGAGGGGCGAACAAGGCACTGAGCTCTCAACAGTGGGTACCCACAGCATCCTGGGAAACTACAGTGGTACCTGCAGCTGTTCCTATGCCCTGTAAGCTTAGATGCCTGCAGAGTGTCTGGGCAGACAGGAACATGCTCAGGGACCCAGGGTGGGTGGTGGGTTCAGGGTAGTATTCTAACTCATGTATGTGTGGAATTGTTCACTATCAATGATTAAAAAAACAAAACAAACATGGAGAGAGCCCTGGAAAGAAGTAAGTAAAACAGCGTGTCCTCCCCGCCCCCGCCCCCAGCCACAACCCCTGCTTCCTCAAAAGCCTTCACCCTGAACCCGCCTCTGAATGTGTCAGGTGCCAGCTCCCTTGGGAGGTGAATGAGACTGTCACCATCTCACCGGCCGAACAGCAGGTCTGAGAGCCTGCTTCACACCCCAGACCGGCCTGTGGTTCTGAGCTAGACATCCCTGTCCTGCCCCCATTCCTAACCATGCCTCTCAAGAGAGCAGGAGAGAATTTCCAACTTCCTGGCTTTGTGAAGTTTCCTCTGTCCCACATGACAGAACTCTAAGAGTCCCCGTCCCGGCCTCAGGCCCAGACAGCTGGCAGCAGCCGCCTCCCCTGAAGCTCTCACCTCGGGCAAGGCTCTGGCCCGTCCAGTAGAAGCCTAGGCCGTGCACAGTGCTGGCCTTGCAGAGATCTCACGGAAGGCACCCCGGGCCAGCCGACCCATGAGTCATACCTCTAACGTACACAGCTCCCACGATCCCCTCTGCAGGTCTCTTTGCTCTTCCTGATCAGCGGCCTGGTCATCCTGGGCTACGCAGCCTCCATCAGTGGCCAGATCACCTACCAGGGTGTGGTCCGTGAGCTGTGTGGGGCGGCCATGGGGAAGCTGTGTGAAGCCTGCTTCCTGACCAACATGATCATGATCTCTGTGGCCTTCCTCAGGGTGATCGGAGACCAGCTGGAGAAGTGTGAGTTCCCTTCCCGGCTTTGGGGTGACCCAGGGGGCAGGGCCCCCAGTTGATGGGCAGGTCAGTGGGTAGTTGATAGACCTCAAGGGGGACGGGAAAGGCAAGAAGACCTCGCCTGAGGACCCAGTGTGCTTAGGAAGGGAGTAGTCAGTCAGGAAGGCCTGAGAGAGACTGACTGGCTGTGGATGGAATGGCTAATGAAGTCGGCCCATTTCACAGATGGGGAAACTAAGCCAACTGCAGAAAGACCTCCTGAGAACTTCCCAGTGGCTCCCTTTATTTGGGCTCTGTGAAGACACCTGTGACCATGGCCTCTGGACCTCTAAGACTTCTCTAAGCACGCCTCTTGCTGCACCTGGTGCATTTTTCTACCTTCTGTTTGCACCATGCTGGGCACAGCTTAGTAACTTGCTGTGCCTTCCACCCTGACTTGCAAGTGTCTGCGCCATCTTGCTTAGTTTACATTTGGCTGTTGCTCAGATCCTTTAGTTCCTGTCTTAATTGTATGCTGGGAAAGATATCCTCTTGCACAATTATGAGATTTGGAGCCTGTTAAAGCCCACTTGTGACCCCAGTGCTGGTCAGTCTTGGTGAGCATTGCATGTTGTTCTGTTTTATTTCAAAACAGGGCTTCCATAGCCCAGACTGGACTACAGCTGAGCTCCCATGTAGCTGAGGATGACCTTGAACTCCTAATCCCCATGTTCCACCTTATTTTAAAAATATTTGTTTTTATTATTATTTTAATTAAGTGTGTTGGGGGCAGGTTATATGCACGGGAGTCTTGGTATACACAGAGACCAGAGTTGTCAGGTTCCCTGGAGCTAGAATCCTGTGGAGATGCCGGAAGTCAAACTGGACCTCTGCAAGGGGCAGTACATGTTCTAACCTCGCCTCTCCAGCCCCCATGCCTTTGCCGGAGCACTGTGATTACATGTACAGCCATGCCTGGTTTATGCATTACTGGGGATGGGAGCCAGGGTCTCCTGCATGCTAGGTGAGCTCTCCATTCACGGAGCTGCATCCCCGGCACATCTTTTCTGACTTTTAAAACGTCCTGCGTGGTCTATGCTATCTAAGAACAGGTGTTGACACCTCCCGCTGGGCCCGCAGACCTGGCTGACCTCACTCTTTAATTCCACAGTCTCCGCTCTGTGGCGTTTGAAACCCCGTGATTAGGCACATCCTTTATTAATATGAAATCTTCTGCTTTCATCTCTGGCATGAAGCCTCCCTCTCTATTAATAGATTCGCCAGCTTCCTCAAGATCAGTGTCCGTGGGTAGCCTTCCCATTCTTCTTCTTCTCTGAAGTCAGCTACAGCTTGGGATTGGAAACTCCTTGGAGACAACATATGGCTGAGGCTTATGGGTTGTTGGGTTTTTTTAATCATCTTGTCAACCTCAGGCTTTTAATTGGAATCTTTAGGCTTAATTGGAACATAGCTGTTGCTCCGGTGAGAGTGCAGTCTCCCGTGTTGCTGTTTGTGTTTGTCTTCCCTGCCTTTGTGTGACAAGGCCCGGGCTGTGGGATTTTAGAACCTCCGACACTGTCCAGTGCCAAAGAATACGGAGGCTGGACTCTCCGGACCTCCCAGTGGGTAAATGCATGGCCACAGCGTGGCAAAGTGGAGAACCTCCCCCAGCTCAGCTCCAGAAATGGTAGCCAGGCAGTAATGAGAAGTGGGAGTCGCAGGGATGGAGCACTCTGTGCCCCAGAGTCCTTACTGTGGTAGGAGCCACCCCAGGTCTCGGTGGACTGACAGGTAAAGCTAGCACGCTCATCCCTTTATGGTCTGTCACTGGGGATGTAGCCCTCCTTGACATCCCACACTCTTGGAAAGGAGATGCTAATCAGAGCTCGAGTGCTCAGGGGCAGTGACCCCATGGGGCTGAAGATTTCAAAGTCTGTCTAGACATTGCAGGTTTGGGAAGGGGGAGTCATACCGGTGTGAGGGCCGCTGTTTCCTGCTGCCGGAAGCTCTGAGCGTGAAGGGTTTGCATACCCCACCCCACACCCGTTCTAAATCCCACCTGGGATCTCTTTGTGGCCTTCACCGCCGGCCTCCTCTTGGTGGCTCCAGGGTACGTGCATGCGTGCGTGCGTAAATGCTGGTATGTTGTGACTCTGTCCGGAGGAGAGCCTCTGCATGGTGGTGACCTGGCTTTGGGACGCTTCCTCACCTCACCAGCTGGGGGAGCTGTTCTCACAAGGCAGGTATTTCCATGTGGACCCTGCTCACCTCACCAGCTGGGGGAGCTGTTCTCGCGAGGCAGGTATTTCTATGTGGGGCTACATTGATGAGATCTGATAAGAGTTGACTCACTGCAATGCAAGTGACCCCCACGGCCCTCTCCCAGCCTCACCTCTGTTCAGTGGTCACCTTGCCTGCGGTTCCCTGCCACTCCAGCTTCAGGTTGTCTGCCAATCCCTATTTCCCTACCCCACTCGCCCTCCCTCTTAGATCACCTCCGACTTAGCCATTCTGCTGTTCTCCAGGGCACTTTCTCTGAGACATTGACTGGCCCCCTGTCTTTCAGGTTGCTACGGCTTGGCTTTGTCTTGCAGTGTGTGGCATAAGAGACCTGTGGCAGTTCTAGGTGTGACTTTTAGGAGGATGGGCAGCCGGCAGGAGGGCCCATGAGGAGAGGCAGAAGTTGAGGGAGGGCTCTCGGGGCTCCAGTAGGCACCAGGAGTAGGCTGCTACTGTCCGGGGACCTCCAGATCAGCTCTGCCGCCGCCAGGTGCCCCGAAGGGTCCCAACCACCCTTGGTGGAACTGAGGGGCTGGTCCAGCTCTTTCAGAATTTACTCTCCAATTCACAATGGGAGCAAGAGTTACATTTCTCAGGCACGCAGCTGTGGAGTGTGCATTACTGAGCATCAGTGCGGAGCTGCAGTGAGAACCAAGCTCACTTCCCCCAGTAGTGCAGCCAGAGCCCCCAATGATGCCATCTGATCCTAGCTAGCCAATGGACTTCTGAACCAAACAGAAAGGGGCCTTGCTCAGGCCTCAGTGCCACAAAGGCAGAGAAATAAGCTCAGTGTGTGTTTGTTAAATGACTTCATGAAATAGGGGGAAGTTCCTTCCTTCAAGGGGGGCATGGGATGGGCCCCACTTCACTTCTGATCCCTCCACTCCCAGGTTGACCTAGCTACCAGCCCATCCGTCTGTACCCTGTGGTTACTTCGGGTCCTACAGCCCAGCTTCTGTCCCTGTCTCTAACAGTGTGTGACTCTCTCCTGCCCGATGTCCCACAACCCTGGTATGCAGCCCAGGACGTCACTCTGCCCCTGATCTCCGTGCTGGTCATCTTTCCCCTGTCAGCACTTCGGGAAATCGCCTTCCAGAAGTATACCAGGTATGGGGCCTCCGAGGCTTCTGGGCAGGGGAGCCGTGTGACAGGGCCCCACTTCGTGTCAGGAGAGATAAAAGAAGGCCAGGTTTGCTTCCATTTGAAAAGAAAATTGGAAGTTTTGCAGATTCTGTGCACTCACAGTAGAAAATATAGATAAGCCAAGAAATATTAATAGCAAATCTTTAAAAAATAATTTTTAACTTCTTCAATAGTTTCCTACCTGTGTATGGTGTATCTTGATCTTAGCCACTCCTCACCCCCACCTTCCTCTCCATCTGGATCCCCTCCAAATCTCTCCTTTCTATCTCTCTCTCTCCCCTTCTCCCCCACACCTTTAACAACAGTTACCACTTGTGTGCAGACGTGGTGCCACCCACTGGAGCTGGTGCCACCCACTGGAGCGTGAGCAGCATCCATAGGTCACACCCTCCAAAGGGAATTAACTCCTCAGCTAGGGATGGGGCTTTGTGGTTCCCTCCTCATCCATGCCCCGCCCCATCCGGTCCGGCCCAATACCTCACCACAGTTGCTGAGAGCTACTGTGAGCCACGCTGTGTCCAGAAGATGGCATTTCTCAGCCCTCCCCATCCTTCAGCCCTTTCTCTCCCCGCTTCCACGCTGTCATCCGAGCCCTACAGGAGAGGACTGATACAGAGTTCTCTTTCGTTCGGGGCTGACCACTCAACAGTCCCTTGTTCTCCACACGTTTGCCCACTTAAGAGTCTCTGCACTGACCCTCCCCTGAGACAAGAGGCTTCTCCGCCCAAGGTTGAGAGCGCCTCGAATCAGTGGGTATAGACATAGCCCCATCTTGGGCTTTGGACCAGTTTTACAATCCCAGGCATGGCCTCCGCTTCTGTGGAGCAGGCTTCAAGCTCAGTCAGAAAGCTGCTGGTTCTCCGGACCGTCATGCATTAGTGCCCAGCAGGTTGGTGTTGTGGCATGCGGTGCCTGGTGCTGGGTGGGACCACTGCTGCCTTCCTTCTCACCACAGCCTGGCAGTACCGCCATTGCTGTGAAAGCTAGCCATGAGGGGGATGTTTCCCAATCGGTTGGAGACTGATTTCTCTACAGCCTGCAGCAAAAGTGCACAACCTCTTCAGCGGAAGTGGCTTGCCCTCTAGTTCTGGTGGGCAACCAGAACTGTGGCAATAACCTGTGGTTTTCTGTGGTGTGGGGGGGGCGGCACTCTGGTACCTCCCTGACCAGTTATTCATAACAGAGGTATCCCCTGCCTGGCACTGAGATTTTTGTTGAATGACCCATGTCTTCTGGAAGCAGTATTGTTCACCCATGTAGGGCACCACTATTCATTCATATATATATACACACATAGGGCTTACTATGTAGTTCTGGCTGGTTTTGAACTCACAGAGCTCTCCTTTCCTCTGCCTCCTGAATGCTGGATTTAAAGGCACATGCCACTACACCCAACTTAAACGCCTTTAAAAAAAAATTTTTTTTTAATTAGCTTCCAGTGTAGTTACTTTCCCTAAGAATTTTCCCTATGTCCTTAGTTTTGGTGAGCCCCACCCCTGACCTTTCCTCCACTCCCATGTCTATCCGTGCCTATCCTTTAACCTCAGTATCACCCTCTCCATCTGTCTGTCACATGGTTGGAGTGCATTGCCTTCTGTGCTCTGGCTTCTGGAGTTCGTGGGAGAGAGAACAGCAGTGTTCATCCAACTGGGACCGGGTCACCTCCCTTAGCGTTTCCCAGCTCCATCCATTTCCCTATCCGTCTCTGCTTTCCGCTTTCTTTACAGCATTGTAACAGGACCTCTTGTCATCTCACGGGGACAGGCTTCCTTCCCCGCCCCACCCGGATGCAGCCTCGCAGGCGATACCATCAAACGGGCGTGGTTTTTAATTCACTTTTGCTCTTGAAGCTTCCAGGGGTGGCGGTGAAAAACCAAAGCCTATTGACAGGCGGGCTCGGCCCAAGTTCAGGTTCATCGCTTACACTGGAACCCTGACAGGAGAAGCCTCAGGGCCCAGTTCTTCCATAGCTGCAGCCCACAAGGCTTCTGTGGCCTTCAGGCCACGACAGGCTTCGCCCCTCTCCTGTGGCGAAGCCTGAAGATGTCCTGACTTGGGTGTCCAACCCCAGCAGCTGGCTGGCTCTCGCTGGTGAGAGAAGAGACGTCCCAGCTGCTCTCCCTGAGGATGCCCAGAAGCCACACCTCTAAACTCAGGACGGAGCGGCACTGCCCAGCCACCCCTTGGGCTTCCTGTCTGGAGAAGGGATGGTGGTTCAGGAGAGCTTCCTGGCTCCACTCTAGCCGGAGCAGAGCTGGGATGCCCCTGTGGGCATTGACTGCGTGTCTCCGGTGCATGGTCTCTGATTCTGTCATGTGTGTGCCAGCATCCTAGGTACCCTGGCTGCTTGCTATCTGGCGCTGGTCATCACAGTACAGTACTACCTGTGGCCGCAGGGCCTCGTGCGCCAGCCCCGTCCTTTGCTGAGGTGAGTCTCGGGGGACAGTTTTTCCTGCTTTGTGGTTGGAAACCTAGAATTCTTGGAGCAGGTCCTCTGGGGCTTGCCTCAGAACCCTGGCTCTTTCCCATGAAGTCCCTCTTCTCTCTGATGTGTGAGGAGCTAAGGAAATTCTTCCTTCAGAAACAAAACAAAACAAAAAACCAAGGCACTGAAGACCACACCTGGGCCAAAATAGACACATCCTCTATGTGGAGGCTAGGAGACCTGGCAGGTGCCCAGGCTTAGGAAACAGTGGAATTGTCAAGCAGCCAAGAGTAGGGCTATACATGAGATAGGGTGTCTCATAGGGACTCGGAGCTTCTATGAAGACTGTCAATTTTGCCTTGGGTGAACTGGGGTACCTTCAGTGTTCTGAGCACAGCAGAGATGGGGCATGGCTTGTTCCTGAAAAGGGTTCCCAGGTGGGCTGTGGCAGTCAGGTACAGGAATATGGGCTAGACAGGAAGTCCCAGCCCAGACCTGAGGCCTCAGGCTGGGGAGCATCCCAGGCAGGTGATATGATGTGATCGGGTGCTAGGTGTGTGGACATCTGTTTCTCAGGGACGATGACAGGTCAGGGGCATCTAACTGTAATCAGCACTCTTGGAACTTTCTGTCTTAATTGAACCAGGGCCTCAGCATGTCCATCCTGTATCAAGTTCCGTAGATAATGCGGTTGTCCTAGTCAGGGACTACAGGTGGCAAGGAAACAGGAGTCAGAGAATGTGTGTCACAGGCGGTGAAGCCTGAGGTTGAGCCAGAAAGTGACTTGGAGACGTCCGCTGGATTTCAGTGACTGGCCAGCTGTGTGTAGCTGCAATCTGAGGGAGGCAGGCCAGGGAGAGCAGAGCAGCGGTGATGTCTGCGGTCCAGCGTTGGAGGCTATAGTGCCAATGTCTGCCATGCCCGTCTGTGGGGCTGTGGTACTGAGCCAGGAGGTAGAGGGGCTGGAAGAACCTGGGTGGGGTGGGGTCTGTTTTTGTTGCCGTTATTGTTGTTTAGTTTTCTGTGTGTTGGTGTTTCGCCTACATGTATGTCTATGAGGGTATCAGGTACCCTACATGTATGTCTGTGTGAGGGTGTCAGGTACCCTACATGTATGTCTGTGTGAGGGTGTCAGGTACCCTACATGTATGTCTATGAGGGTATCGGGTACCCTACATGTATGTCTGTGTGAGGGTGTCAGGTACCCTACATGTATGTCTATGAGGGTATCAGGTACCCTACATGTATGTCTGTGTGAGGGTGTCAGGTACCCTACATGTATGTCTGTGTGAGGGTGTCAGGTACCCTACATGTATGTCTGTGTGAGGGTGTCAGGTACCCTACATGTATGTCTGTGTGAGGGTGTCAGGTAACCTACATGTATGTCTATGAGGGTATCAGGTACCCTACATGTATGTCTGTGTGAGGGTGTCAGGTAACCTACATGTATGTCTGTGTGAGGGTGTCAGGTGCCCCTGGAACTGGAGTTGCAGACGGTTGTGAGCTGCCATGTGGGTGCTGGGAGTTGAACTGGAGTCCTCTGGAAGAACTGTCAGTGTTCTTAACCTCTGAGCCATCTCTCCAGCCCTGGGGTGGGTTTTTTTTTTTTTTAAAGGTAGGTGGGTTTCCTGAGGTGCTGCAACAAGTCCCTACAAACCAAGGGGCTCAAACAGTCAGGAATGTTTCCCTAGGCCCTGGAGCACTTGGCCTTCCCTCACAGTGCTGGCTGGGGTCCCGTTTACACGTTCCGTCAGACTGTGGCCTAGGTAAGCCCATTTCTTCTGGAGTCTCTGGGAAAGCCTCTTGCTTTTCCTGCTTTTAGAAGCTGCCCACAGTCCATCCCCCTCAAAAGCCAGCCCTGTGGTAGCTCTGCTCTGCTCCCTGGTCATGGCTCCCTTGTTACAACTGGGCAGAAACACGTTGCACACCGTGGCTTCCAGTGACATACCAGGCTCGCCTCCATGACCCAAGGCACTGCTCCTAAGCTTTAGTGCTATCTACAAAGTTCCTTTTGGCTCTAAGGAAATACATTTGCAGTCCTGGGTAATATCAGGTAATATCAGGACAGGGATTGGGGGCGGGGGCTGTAACCCTCCCACAGGAACCTGCTGTTCATGCCCTACTGGGCTGCGTGTCCCTGTGAGTGCCCAAGACTGACATGAAGAGTTTCTTAGCAAAGCAAACAAGATCTACCAGACAGGAGCCAGGGGAGGGGACACTTGCTCCCTGAAGTGATTTGGACACGGGGCACACCAACCTTGTGTCGGGCAGTGTCTGCGTGTGCCCTTGCACCCCACAGGTAGCCTCTAGAGGGAAGACAGGACTTCTGTCCTACCACTGCCTTGCGCAAACCCCACCCACACAGGCAGCGTCCTGTCACCAAATGCCCACAAAGATGTGTTTAGAAAGTGCAGGACGGAACACACTTCCATTTAGCCCGGAGCGCACACACAGACTCAGCTTTTCCAAACGCATCCTGTAGTCACACCCACCACATTTCCCTCATTTTGTTCAAAACTGAAGGTTGTTTCCGGCTCCTTAAGGAGCACTTGCCCCTGTCTGTTCACAGCCCGTCCCCCTGGACCTCTGTATTCAGCGTCTTCCCTAGCATCTGCTTCGGATTCCAGGTACGTGGAGAATGTGACATTTTGAGACTTCCGAGCTCTCTGGGGGGAGGGGGTGCAGCTTCCCCCTGGGAGGGGTAGGGGGTCTGAGTGCTTGTTCTGCTCTTAGCGCCCAGCTGTAATGCGGGCTGTCTCCCAGAGGTCATGACATCTGAGCCACCTAGAGGAGCTGTGAGATGTCATTGAACTTCTCCCCACCCCGCCACACACACCACCTACCCCTTCCACTCCCCACCCCCCCCCCTGTACAGTAGTACCACATTGGTTGGGTCTGGAATCCAGAGAAGAGGGTGGGGACCGGGACACACCTCACTGAAGAATGATCACAGAACTGCCACCAGACCTGGGGACAGAGCCGTCCACATATACTTGCAAAATGAATAGATTCTGCCCTGGGCCTTGGAGAAGAAAGATTATACTCCTCATGGTTTACTGCCTCAAGGGTATAGGGAGAGTACGTGAGGCTGTGTGACAGCACGGGGACCACATCCGGCTAAGATTTACCTCTCCTAAAAATCCATCATTGCCAACAACTACACCACAGAGCATTCATAGGTCACAGGGATCTGTGCAGCACCCAGGCCTCGCCTTACCCTCCAATTCTGTTCTTCTGCTTGGATTTTCTTTCAGAGCTGTTTTTGATAACCCCTGGCAACACTGCCCTTTCTCAGCCTGGTGACTTGGGGGGGGGGGGCTCAGGGAGAGGCTCCTGAGATGCTCGCACACCTGGTGTTTTGAAAGCTGCCTGGGGCTGATTTTGCTCTGGGCTGCTGCCTGGGTGTGGTCAGCATGGAGCAGCAGGCAGCCTGTGCAAACCCCCTTCCAAAGGCTCACAGCCCTCACCTTGACCTCGACTCCCTCCTTGGTTCTCCTAGCAACCAGGCTGTGGTTTCCAGGGTTTCCAGGGCTGCAGTGACTGCAGAGCTGAGGACAGGAAGCGGGTGAGGGCGGGGCTCAAATCAGGGGTGGGTGAAGGATCCAGAGAGTCAGGAGTCTGAGGAGATCTGTGAGGATGAAGATGGCTGAGCTTGGCAGCTTGGGCTGTGAGGAAGGAGAGGCAGCAAGGCTTACGGCCGTCAGTACTTCTGACAGGATTTAAATACATCGCCTCTCCCGGGACACACTGAGAAATAGGGCACCCCTGATCCCACAGTGAACTGGGTCAGTGTGGGGGCGCAGAGGGCTGCAGACTCTGTCTCTAGCCACCCTGGCACCTCCTGGTTTTGTTTTAAACTGCTTTACCGAGGCTCATGCAACATGTGGCCATGGTCACAGTGTGCAGTGTGGCCACCAGCGACCTGCTCCTTCTCCTTCTGCCAGCCTCCGGTGAGCATGGCTGTGCTCTGTCTGTGGATCTCCCTGTCATGAGTGGTCCGTGACCCTGTGCCTCTTGTCATCTGGGCCATGGGGGTCAGACACTCCTCATTCCTTTTTCTTGTTTGTTTGTTTTTGAGACAGGGTTTCCCTGAGTAGCCCAGGCTGTCCTGTCACTCGCTCTGTAGGCCAGGCTGGCCTCAAACACAGATCCGCCCGCCTCTGCCTCCCAAGTGCTGGGATTAAAGACATCTGCCACCATGTCTCATTCCTTTTTAAAGTCAAGTGACATTCAGTCCTGTGGACAGCTATGGTCTGTGGACCTGTGCCTTGCCTGTGCATCTGAGGCTGTCACAGGCTTTGGTTCATGAGTTCCCTCTGCTGTGCACTGACGGCTGTTCCTACCTGCTGTCTTCAGATAGGTGCACAGGGAAGGCAAGCTCCCCGGATGTGTCTGCCCACCAGTGTCGGGGCTTGGCTGCATGTCTGCCTGCAGAGCTGAGGCTCTGGGTCCCCCACATGGGGCATTGTCTATAGCTCCCTAAAACAGAACCTATGACAGGGTCAAGATACTGGTGTTCCTTCAGGTGCTCCAGGGGTGGGACAAAGAGTATTAAGTGGCATTGCTGGATCCCTTGCCTGTCCTGTATCCCTTGGCTGTCCTGACTGGTACAGAGGGCACACACAAAACTGCTTCTGGACACAGAAGGGAGGATTTACCATGAGTCACATCACTGTCAGCCAAGGATCTGGTATGGTCACCATTGCCTGGCTGAGCTTGCCCCCAGCCCAGGGGCTCTAGGCTATCCGAGAAGCCCAGGTCAGACAGTGTATACCACTGCCCTAGGTTCATGGGTCGGGGCTAGTGTATCTGTGCCGTCCCCAGGTTGGGCCAGGAGGAGCAAGGCCTCTGTACAGTCCCACTGCACCTATGCTCCAGGGCTCCTGGGAGCACTGTGGTCCCCATCGTACACTAGGAACCAAACATGGGTTCATGGGGAGCCGAGCTGGAGATGGCGACTCACAGCTGGCAGAGGCAGGACAAATAGAGCCAGAGTCACACAGGGTGGGACAGGGCCGTGTGGCGGAAAGAGGTCTGTTAGGGATGAAGGCAAGGGTGTGGGAGTGGTAGGAAGTAGCTATGCATCCTGTCTACACTTCCACCCTGTGAGCTTCGCAGGGTCCCTCATCTGCTGTGTGAAACCCGGCCTTGGGCTGCGCCACATGAGGGAAGCCAAATTGCATTGGCCGGGCTATACGTTTTACACAGACAATTGTCAGCTATGATATAGCATGTTACCTTAAAAATGTTTTTGCTTACTTACTGTGTGCGTGCGTGCATGTGAGTGCATGCACATATGAAATGATGAATGTGTGGAGATCAAAGGACAACCTGTGGGAATCGGCCTTCTCCTTCCACCACGTGGGTTTTGGGAACCAAGCGCAGGGCATTGGACTTGGTAGTGGTCTCCTTTATAATTGCTGAGCTGTCTTGTTGGCCCAAAATTTGCTTCTTTTTAAAGTGGAATCCCAAGTGTGGGTGTTTCCACATAACCTCCCCAGTGTGCCCTCACCACCCTCTCCATCAATAGCACCCCCCTCCAAACCACCGTTCTGTCCTCTGTTACTGGAGATGGGCATCCCAGCAGCCTGATGGTGCCCCCAGAGGCACCTGGGACTCTTTTGGATTTTTAATATGCGTGGGCATCCAGCAGTCTGTGCAGGGAACGCTGCTCGATGCCTTCCAATGCACAGGACAGCCCTCTTTGCAGGAGTCACCCACCCCGGCCCAAGGATGCCAAGAACCCTGGACCCTAACTATATCTGTCTCGTGATCTGAACTTCAGGCCTCTCCCTTGCTTGGCACCTTTTTGTCAATCTTGCGTTGTTCTGTGAGAGTCTTCTGTGTTGAGGCGGGGCGTCAAGGGTAGTCCTTTTGAGAGCTGTACAGTACTCCACCCGTGAGTGTCCTGAGATTTGCCTGTGCTGCTGGTGGATACTTGGGTACTTCCCAGTTTTGGGGTGTAACACCTCCACAGTTGTCTGGAGGGGCTGAGCTGCAAGTTCTGTCTTCCAGTGTCACGAGGCCGCGGTCTCCATCTACTGCAGCATGCGGAACCAGAGCCTCTCCCACTGGGCCCTGGTTTCGGGGTTGTCCCTGTTGGCCTGCTGCCTTGTCTACTCGCTGACAGGTAGGGCCTGGGGCAGGGTGCCCAAGAGGGGAGGGAGTGGCCATGGAAAATGAGCCAAGACCAGGCTCCTGAAAGAGCCCGTCCGTGCTGGGTTGTCAATACTGTTGCTCATTTAATCTGTATTGCCCCATAGGAAAAAGCTGCAGATGGGGAAACTGAGGCTCAGAGGGCTCCCATGGCTTTCTCAAGGTCCTAGAGTTAGATATGCAAAGCTGAGACCCACACCTACTTCAGAACCCTGTTCTCATCTCTCCTGCTATTCTGAGGTGTGGTTATATCTGGGAAGTGGTTTGTTTACAAAACATTTGCACAGATGTAGTGACTTCAAGTTCTCGACCCATATTTTCTGAGGTAGGCAGAGGTCATCAGAGGTGGTAAAAGCGCGTCCCAGAGAGAAGCCACGAGAGGCCCAAGGTCACAGTATGTGCCTGTTCAGACTCAAGTTTCAGTACAGTGACTTTTAGTGGTCGCTGCCTGGTAGACTTTCCTGCTTCCATTATTGGAGCTGCCAACTTGGAAGGCTTTGAGCTGCGGTGTATCTGCTGTGCAGCCTTGGGCTCCTAGGGTCACCGAAGGGACTTGCTGGGGGCCTTTTCCCCAGCCAGCGGATCCTTTCATTCTGCAGCCCCAGGATCTGAAGGCTGTGCCTGTATTATACCTCCAGATGTCCCTAGTGTCAGGATCGGTAGGACCACAGGACTTCCTAGATAGACCTCCAAGAGACACCGATGTGTTGAGGCCGGAAGTAACCTCTCAGGACACGGCAGAGGACCTGGGTGACAAGAAGCCATGTTGTGTTGTGGGAAGGAGCTAGCTTTCTGCTCCTGCCAGCTGTGTGATTGTAGAGGATCAGGGGTCATCTAGGCCTTGGTTTTCCCATCTGGAAGATGGATGTGTGACCAGCTGCTTCCTTGGCTGCTGTTGCCCCGAGCTGGAGGACATGGGATGTGGGAGGTATGTGTCTATTTCCCAAGGCTCTGGGGCTTCCAGTCAGTGGTCATATCTGAGCCCTGGCGCCAGCCTTGAGCAACCAGCTAGTCTGCAGAAGTGTTTGGGACACCAAACATGTAACCCTTCCAGAACCTTCCAACTATACTAAAGAAAACCCTTAGGGTACTGGGGGCATGGGATATGTGGGATTCTTCTCTTTGCAGATGCCCACTGCCTTCTCTCCCACCTGCAGGTGTTTTTGGCTTCCTGACCTTTGGGACTGAAGTCTCTGCTGATATCTTGATGTCCTACCCAGGCAATGACACGGCCATAATTGTAGCACGGATTCTCTTTGCTGTCTCCATTGTGACTGTCTACCCCATTGTGCTGTTCCTGGGGAGGTGAGTCTGTTTAGCCCGGTGCACCATGGGTTGTGTTCTTCATGTGTGGAGGTACATGTGTGTATTGTGGGACTGAGGTCACCCCCGATGGACAGAGGGGTACACAGGCACAGTGGGCTTAGGTGTTGACTGGCAAAGAAGCATCAAAACTGGGCCTGGAACCCTGACTTCCTTCTCCGCACCCTACGTACCTGGAGTCTGAGAGGTGCCCTGGGGAACATGTAGCCGGATGTGGGACAAACCCAGCGGTGTGCAGGACTCCTGGAAACCAGGAGATCAGCAGCCATGGCCCTGGCTGAGCATTAGCATCCATGTATCTGTAGGTCTGTGATGCAGGACTTTTGGAAAAGGAGCTACTGGGCCACATGGGGTCCTCCAGTGCTGGCTGACCCCTCAGGGCCATGGGTCCGGCTGCCACTGACCTTCCTGTGGGTGTCAGTGACCCTTGCCATGGCCTTGTTCCTGCCGGACCTCAGCGAGATCATCAGCATTATCGGTGGCATCAGCTCCTTCTTCATCTTCATTTTCCCCGGTGAGTGGCTGCCCCCAGCCTCCAGCACTCGTCCTTGGTCGACGCCAGCAGTTCTCAACCTGTGGGTCGTGACCCCTTCAGCAAACGCCTAAAATATCTCCAAAAAGACATACAATATGATTCATGACAGTAGTAAAATTATAGTTATGAAGTAGCAATGAAAATAGTTTTGCGGTTGGGGATCTCCACGGCTTGAGGTGCTGTATTAAAGGGTCACAGCCTTAGGAAGGTTGAGAACCTGTGTTTGCGAGATCTGGAGGTGGCGCCCTCTTGGGATGAGGGCCTAGGTTACTGAGCCAGCCGGTAGGCCAGGCTTTCCAGACATTTCCTGCCGAGTGGCTCAACAGCCCTAGGTGGGTATGCCATGTCATTCCAAACCACACAAATGGGAAGACAGAGGCCCAGGACCCAGGCAGATCTGACCTCTGACAGATCAGAAAGGCTGCCTGGTCCACTGCCAATGTCTCCCACTGTGGGGATGGCTGGTTATTTTAAAATACTGTCTGTGGGAAACTCATGAGGCTCACAATACGAAAGAGCATTCCATGAGAATCTTCTTGGCACTGCCCCAGACCGGGAGGCAGATCCCATGTTCTGCGGTGGCAGCTTCTGAGGGAGCCTTCCCCGTGTATATGAGCTGAGGGGGTAAGTTACAGGGGACACAGCAGGTGTACCCTCCAGATGGGAACGCCAGCAGGGGGTGAGACTGGAGAAAGACTTCAGCATGCAATAGGGACCTGGCACACAGTAGGTGCACAGCACATGGAATTACTTCCGTGTCTAGACTACACAATTTGGCTATTAGAAGAGCTGCATTAGGTAGATTTTGAACTGGGGGGGGGAGGGGGGCGTAACCCCGTGTTGAACCATGGCCAGTTCCAGATGCCCGACCCAGGTTATCTCTGAGACAGCAATGACACCATTGGATGCGGCAAGTCTATGCGTAGGAAGAAGCCAGGCCAGAGTGTGTCTCTATTCACTCTGGTTTGGGATAGAGTTTGATGAATTTCATGGTGCCTGCTCCTCTTTCAACTCCCTGGTCTGAGGCTCTTTCAAGTCTGGCTCAGGCCCCAGGGGAGCCTTTTCAAAGCTCTAGCTCTTGCCTGTGCCCAAGGGAACTGCCTGGGGGTGGGAGGGCGGAATCAGTGTGGGAGCAGTTTGGGAGCTCCAGGCAGAGCAGGCAGGCTTTGAAACTGAACAGAACTGATGGGATGCTGGAGATGTGACCCAGGACTCATGCAGGCCAGGCCAGAGCTAAAGTATAGCTAAAAAGTACAGTGTGGGTGGGGTACTGCCAGGAGTCTGCCTAAGCTACACACCTGGCTTTTTCTCTTTTCTTCTCTTCCTCCTCCTCCTGTTCCTCCTCCTCCTCCTCCTCCTTCTCCTCCTCCTGCCTATAACGTATATGTGTGTGCACATGCATATGTGTGTGCATGCAAGTGGAGGCCCAAGATTGACATTGGGCGTCTTCACTAATTGCTTTCCACCCTGTGCGTTTCCTAACCCAGCCCACTGTGCTAGTCATACACTGAGCCACTGAGCGTGTAGGCGGGCTACCGCATCACCAGCTTAGGAATTCCAGGAAGCTGAGCTCCAATCCCTATGCTTGCATGGCCAACGCTTTACACACTAGGCCTGCTCCCCAGTCCCATACTAGCTCCCTTGGTTTTTTGTTTTGTTTTGTTTTGTTTTTGTAAGATGGTTTCTGGGTAATCAAACTTGGGTCTCTTCATGCTTTCAAGGCAAGAGCTTTACCAACGGAGCTCTCTCCCCAGCCTTTAAAAAATATTTCAAAATGAAGGAGGCGGAAGAAGAGGAGGAGGAGGAAGAGGAAGCTGAACATAGTAGCACCTGCCTGTTATCCCAGCAATATAGAGACTGAGGCAGGGGGTTGGAGAATTCGAAGTCGGTCTGGGTTGTGTTGCAAGATCCTGCCTGAAAGAAAGGAAAGAGAAGATACAGGGATGACTGCAGCTCCACGGGTGCATGCTAGGCTTGGGTACTAACCAAGTTCCTGCCCCTGCAAGGCAGAGCCCTCAGAGACCGTGCTATTCAGCCAGATCATTTTGGGGGTGCTTAGCTGGAGCTCCCACTGGCCTCGCTAACTCGAAGCTGGTCCCCTAACCACTGCACCTTTCCAGATGTACCAGTTTTCCACTGGCCGTTCACTGGCAGCCGCTGTGCCTCCAGTTCAGCAAGGGAGAGCCGGGTTGACCTTGTGTCTCCTTTGTAGGTTTGTGCCTCATCTGTGCTGTGGATATGGAGCCCATGGGACCAAGAGTCAAGTGAGTGTCCCCAAGATGAGGGTGTACTGAGGAACAGCAAGCTGGAATGAATGATGTGTACTCCTGGGCCTGGTGTGTGGTGTGGCCTCCCCCTCCTGTGAGCATGCGTCCATGAGATCCGCACAGATCTGCGGTCAGCCTTCACCAGTGTGTGCACATATTCCAGGCTCTGTGTTTGGAACTTGCCGTCTGTTTGCAGTATACCCCCATCATCTCCAGTACTCCAGGCTACACCTCCCTTGAAGTTTGGCTCAGGAGCAGGGCACAGCCTGGTTCTGAGTCTACAGGTCAGCCGACTGAGAGGGTTCAGGCCCACCTGCTATGTCATCAATGGTAGCAGATCTTGCCAAGGTTCGGGAGGCTCCTCTAATCTAGACCCCTCGTAGACCTGTCTCCATTGTACAAATGAAGGGGTGGCTCAGGAGGCTGATGGGGACAGAGCCAGCCCTAGCTCAGATCCTGGGGTCTGAATTCTCTTGATTGCTACTACACAGCGGGGAAAACAGACTGAGGCAGACGGAAGGATGCAGGCTTAGCTTTCTGCAGCGAGTGACCACGGCCTTGGGAGTGGCATTTAGCTGCGCAAATGCACCCTGCAGGCTCTGAAAAGCAGTCCTGAAATCGACTGACCAGCTGGCAAGGCTGTGCTGTGGTCCTCCAATCCCTACCACCCTTCCTGTAGGAGGACTCTTGTCATGGACTCAGGCGCCACACCCTGCCCTTAATCGTTCCTGCAGACCCTGGTCTGGAGAAGGCCCCAATCCCATGTAAGCATGCTATGTGTGGTACTGCTCAACCCATCTCAGATGCCCATGGCTTACACAGCCATGGGTGTGGGTGCCTGTGGCTGTAGTTCTGTGCCCAGTCTCCATCCTTCAGCCCCAGTGAACCCAAGGGCTCCAGGAGAGCGGGTGTGGCTCAGACCCCTTCTGTCCTGACAGGAGTTGTAGGTTAGCTGACTGCTCCCTGCTGGCTGGTTGTAGGAGAAGCTGTGGAATCTTGTCATGGACAAGTCTAGCATGGTTCATTCATACGCTTTTAAGATGGTTTTCTGAAACCACCCTTGGTCCGTCCCGCCTGTTGTGTCCTGTGAACTTATGGGGGTGATGTTGTTCATCCAGAGATGTCCCTCTCTGGTGACAGTTCCTTCTGGCCCCTGTTAATGCTGCAGTGATCTCTCTGGAAGCCTTGCCATTCACTGGTCCATTGATCTGCAGTTAAGAAAACGGCCTTTGGGTTTGCCTACAGCTGGATATCATGGGCACATTTTCTCAATTGAGACGCCCTCCTCTTGTGATTTTAGCGTGTGCCAAGTTGACATAAAGCTAGCCAGCACAGGGGAATTTTGCCTTAATTTGATGACACTGGCCCGTCAGCACCATCTGGCACTGCATACTGCCAGCCACACAACCAGGTATGTTGTATTGCAGGCGCTGCCTGGAGGCCTGGGGCACCCTCTCCGTGCTGGTGGGCACTTTCATCTTTGGCCAGAGCACAGCCGAGGCCATGGTAGAACTGCTCTGAGAGACGTCTGGGCTCTTGCCTGAAGACCCCTGTGGGCTCTTGAATCAAAAAGGTGCTGGGGAAATGGACGGTCCTACCTGCTGGCTGCCTACCGAGCTCTGCTTCCCCTGTGACTCCCGGGGCCCTAGCGAGGAAGGACCACTGTGACACACTGGTTGGTGACTCAGGACAATAGGTACTCATGCTACTGAAAACCGGAGTGTCAGCTGGAGTGGGGTGGGCCGTGCTCCCTCAGAAGGCTCTGGAATGCTCCTCCTACTGTCCTCCTTTGGTGGTTCTTAGTGTTTCTGGCTTGGAGATGTGTCCTTCAAGTCTCTGCTATATATTCATGGTGACATGGTCAGTCCCTGCCCTGTGTGTCTCTGTCCAAGCTCCCATTTCCCAAGCCGGGTGCCAACTACTCAACTACCCATCTCAAGTTTACAAGCACTTGTCTACACTGGCTGTGTCTCCTCTTAGTTACTAAAGGTGTGTGTCTTAGTTACTGTTCCATTGCTGAGAAGAGACACACAATCAAGGTAAGTTACAGAAGAGTTCATGGGGGCTTACATTTTCAGAGAGTTAGAATCCATGACCATTGTAGCAGGCAGGCATGGTGCTGGAGCAGCAGCTGAGAGCTGACTTACATCCTTACCCACAACCACAGGGCAGAGAGAGCACACTAGGAGTGGTACGGGCTTTTGAAACCTCAAAGTCCACCCTCAGAAACACAGCTCCTCCAACAAGGCCACACCTCCTAATCCTTTCCAAATAGTTCCACCAACTTGAGACCAAGGATTCAAACATATGAGCCTGTGGGGGTCATTTTCATTCAAACCACCACATCCCACTCCCTGGCCCCACAGGCTAGCAGCCATATCATAATGCAAAATGCATTTGACTGGATGTACCCGTTATTGGTGTTTGGCTGAAGGTTATTTGAGGATATAATGAAATCGTGACACAGGCATGGGAAGATGTGGTGTTGACATTTCTCAAGAAGTAGATTTCGAATGCCAACAGATGTGACAAGGAGCACAGGAACGCCTGTGACCTTCCTGAATTTCTAGAGGATGGTAGATGGCGTTCCCATACCGCAGACAGTTTTCCCAAGACAAATAGCCCTGTTGTGCTTTATGTAACCTTGAACGTGCTAGGCTGTAAGGCAGGTTTCTCTGCCCCTGTAAACGCATTCTGTTATCAAAGGAGCTGTAATAATAAAAGTGAGCCTCGCCGTGCAAGTTCCGCTCAGCGTTTGGTTGCCTTGAGTCCCCAGGCTCCCACTTCAGTTCTTTCAGGCAAACCTCTCCCACCACAGTTTTTTCAGTCTCAACCTTTTCAAAGCCCAAAGTTTCTTTTGAGACTCACATCAGTCTCTGTTACAACCCTCTGCATACGTCCAGCATACAATGGCACAGAACATGCATTACCATTCCAAAAGGGAGGCGTAGGAGCAGAGGGAGGAAATATGGACCAAGGGAAGATCGGAGTCTGTCAGGGCAAACTCCAAATCCTGTAACTTTATGTCTGATATCAAAGGGTTTAGATGGTTCCGCCCTTCCTGCTTTGCCAGCTGCAACACACTCCTCTCTCTGGGGTTGTTCCACTCTCTGCATGCAGCTCTCCCTGGCAGACATCCGTGACTCTGGCACCACCAACCTCTTGGGTCTCCGGCAGAGTCCAGGCTTCATTTTCATAGCTTCATGCAGTGGCCTCTCCGAGCTCCCATGCAGAAACTCCCCTGCCATACACCTGGCCTCAGCCCTTTCCCAGAGAAGGATTCCACAACCCATGTACTTACCCCTGTATCCCTCATGACTCTAAAGCCTGGACCACACAACTGATGCTGCCAAGTTCTGCTGCCTGCTTGGAATGGAATCTGGCCCCCTCTGTGAGTCACATTTGCATAATCTTTGATTTGTTGATGCTTTTTGGAAGCAGAAAGCCCTTCAGGCCTCTTCGTTTTATAAATTGCAGGATTATCTGAGTGGGGCCTCACCCTGAGGGCACCACTTTCTTTATTCCGTCCATCCTTTCTCACAAATCATGGCTCCAACATTGAATTTCCTGGTGCTCTTTTTCTCCTCAAACTGTATATTTTGTATTTCTTTTTTTCTTCCTTTTGTACTTTTTCATTGTAGAACTGCATAAGAGTGATCATTAATAACCATGGAATAGACTCAATATTGGGCTGTCTTGAAATCTTCTCTGTCAATAAAATTAGTCTGAAACTCTTCAATTTAGCCTCCAGCATGTTCTTAGGACAAAGGCAAAAATCAGCTAAAATATCCCAAGAGTGATCTCTAGCCCAGTTGCTGATATTGTTCCCCTCCAAAACCTCTCGAGCTGGGTCTCCATAGTCCATAGTGCTCTTAACACTGCTGCCTGCCAAGTCTCTGTGTAAGAGCAAAGTCACCCTGTAAGTTCCACCTGTCCAAGGACCAGGTAACTTCCTGGAATGCTGGGAGCTGTAGTTTCCAGAAAATAACAAGGCCACATGGAAAATGTGGCAGCCATTTGGTTTTGTTCTTTAAAATCCCTACAACATGTGTCTTGTTGGGATTCTTATTGGGATTCCAGAAAGTGGATCTGACGAGAGTCCATCCTAGTCAGTATTTAATTAAAGCTTGCTTCAAATTGGCTCAAAATTGTGGAACTGAATTTTCTCTTGTAGGTCTCAGGATTAACATTGGGAAACCCCAGTGATATAAGAAAGACCTTTCCACCTCAAATGCTCATGCTCTTCCCTCTGGGGTTGGTGGGCTGCCTTGGTGGTTCACACTTTGGAATATTAATCCAAAACTCTACACCCCTCTCCCCACACAGTGAATGGCCAGGAGATAGCAAGCATTTTTGGTAAGTTGTAGAAGCCTTTTAGCTTTCTATGACACTTTTCTGCCTGGTTTCTGGATTCTGGGTCCAGGGTACTCTGATCTGGGAATGGGGAGGACCTTATGAGGTCTATGCACCCCCATACTTGGCAAAGGGAGATGTCCCACAGCCCACTGGTTATTTCTGGGGAAGTTCAGCCAGAGTCATCAATTTTCTTTTTCTTCTGACCTGCTATGAAAGTATCCTAGTGACACCAGGGGACCATATGCTCAAGTGTATCAGAGAGGCCTGGCCCGTGGGTGTTCATCAGCAGGGTGCCAACACTTGGACTATGCAACAAAGCCAGGACATCCCAGGACATGGGGACCAAACCTAGAGTTTGGAAAGGCCCAGAGCAGAGATGTCAGAAAGACCAGGGGTTGTGCCAGGAGACAACTAAAACAACCTCTTACCTGGTAAATTTCTCTTGGTCTGAAGCAGAGGACTCCAGTGGTTAGATGTCATTGTTTGATGTCTTCTCTTGTCATTTGGCTCTATGTTTGCCTTTGTCACTTTGACTCTGTCTTGTCTTGTGGATGTACCTGTCATTATATGTTCTGACTGGGGGATGACAGGTACATATATTATATGTATATGTCATATGTTATATGTACCTGTCATTATATGTTCTGACATATAATGCTGGGCAACTTTGAAAAACCCAGGGTCCCTGTACAGAAGCCAGTGGTCAGCACTACTGTGTTAGTAGGGAAATGGATTCAGCAGCAGTGACCACCAAGGTGCCTCTCCCCCCAAATTACAATCTTGGAGGAGGTAAAGAAAATTTATCTAGTTGTTTTGAATGTATGAATGTGGACACTGCATGTTTGTTTCTGATTGGTCTCCCTTGAATGTGTGAACTTCCTGTGTTCCGTGCTTCTTTGTTACATACAGCTCAGCTGTTACTATTACAGCCAGTGATGGCCCAGGACCCAGAATTTAACTCTGAGCTGTCTGGCCAGTGGATCTAATGTAATAATGATTCAAATGTCATTTGGGTATGAATAATATTAACTTTATTGAAAAACTGGCTCTAAAATTAGGTTATGGCTCTCCCTGTTCCAGACCAAGACATTCTTTTAAAGTCTATGTCTGGGGTCAAGATGCACAGCAGGGAGAAAAAGAAAGCAAAATAGCTAAAGGGATTATTGATTTGTAAGCCTATTGGGTATGGCTAAAAATCTGAACACTTGTAACAAAAAAGTTAACATAAAACTTGTATAGGATTGATAGTTAAAAGTCTGCGCATAGGTAATCTTAAAGGCTCTGTGTGGCATGACTGCATTTTGGGAGATAAGAACACACGGCCTGCCACCATTCTTAGGCAGTCACGTGGCTGAAAGCTGTCTTTGCTAGGGTTGCAGAGGCAAGATGTCCTATGGCTTCACTGCCATCTAGATTGAGGACAATCACAAGGTGTGGCCAACCAAGGAGCTAACAGGTCTCCCAAAATACTTTTAAATTTGAGTGGATTTTTGTATGATAATTCCCATCCTGTCTTGAAAACACTGTTTATGAAAGATAGGACTTAAAACACAGTGTTTGTTGAATGAAGTATTAAAGCTGCATCTTCATGCATTCATATACAAGAATGAATCTTGCTGGCAGTCAAACTTTGTAACATAAAAGTCACCCAGTTGGTTTTAAGGACGTTGAGTTGTTTGCACTGCTGAAGTTTGCTTTTGCCTTGTGCACACTGTGGTTGTGTCCAGTTTCTTACTCTTGAATAAAAAGGGTACTTTATTGCAGGAGCACACAGTTGTGAGATTTTAAACTTCTTTAAAAAGACATTTCTACTTTTCCAGAAAATGTAAATTAAAAGCTAGATATTTTTAAGAAACAGCTTTAAAAAATATTTAATTCTATAAGGCTCTGGGACATTTATAAGATATTATAATGTCTTTATTAATATGTGATTTTGATAAATAGATAAATAAAAGGTTAAAATTAGGGCCACAGCTATGAGCACCAAACATTAAAAACTAGAGACCAAGGTGTTTCTATATTTGATGCAGCAAGTTTGATGCAGTGACCTAAGCTGTCTGGCGAAAGGTCTCTCCTTACATAAGGTCTGTTCAGGCTAACAGAGACTGATTTAAGAATGTATGTCTAACTTCCTTGATTTTGCTACTTTGTTAAACTGAAGCTATTTTGGTAAACTCAGTCATGCAAGAAACTGTTATATTCTATAATGTTATCCTATGTAAGGACCAGGAAAATAAAGTTTCTGAACTCCCAATGGACTGTATTCATGAAATGAGTTTCAATTCAGAAATTGTTATTTTTATTATAAACTATTAAAGATGATTAAGCTTTCATATGTTCAGAACTATACTAATAGTCATGCTAAGTGCTAATGTAATTAATTACAGGAAAAAGCTTTATTGAACCTCCTGTATTTCAAGGTTTAACCTTAAAGCAAGTAGCAACAACAAAAAGGTTGTTTAGACCAGATATACTTAGTAGACAACGATCCTCACACTTGTCAGAGATTGGCTGAATATGGCACCTAAGATGTTCAGTGGAAGAGTTTACTCTGACAGATGGAGACTTCCAGATCCTAACAGTGACCCCCAGGGTCTCCAAGAAGATCATGGGCATAATGACAACTCCAGCTGGATTGTGGTCATGCTAACCACTGGGATAGACTACCCCAGTGCCTTGCCTGCTGCCAGAACCCTACCCAAACTGTGGACAAGCAGCACGCTTGAGAGTTAATTGCCCTAAACAAAGTCAAGTCAGTCCCCAAATTTTTCATCTACTGGGTCTGGCTGCCAAACACTGATGCTGTCCTGGTACCTCTGCCTTCAATGCCATGGAGACCACAGGCGCCTTGGATGATGGGTAGTGGACTATGAACTAGTCACCAACATTTTAATGGATACATAGGCAATTTGGATTATAGTCTTGCAATAATTTATCCTTCTTAGATTTCTGATGGCATTGATGGCTAGGCTAACTGTAGGTTTGTGATCTGGGCAGCAGCAGGCAGCCAGTTCCTTCCCCCAAGGCTGCAGCCCCCTTGTTAGTTCATCTCGAGCTATTAGGTCTCTCACTGAGAAAAGGCAAACAGGATTACCTCGTTGACAGGCTTCATATTAAAGGATAAACAAGTTTTGGATATAACTTTTCACCAAAGGAACACATCTTTCAATGATTGTTCTCAATAACACTATTCATGTCTCTAACAAATGAGTAGATGGAAAGAAAATTTTTATAAGATATAGAAACATCTAAAGATACGAAAGCTTAAATTTTAATGATATAAACATGATTCTAAATATATAAAAATGAGAAATATTTAATTTATTTCCTCTCTCTATGCTATTGTATACTAAGATTTCAAATATTCAGCGTTTTAACATTGATTAACCGCGTTCTGATAAGCTGACGGAGCACTGACTGCTTACTATTCAGTTACAAGCTTAAGAGTTTAAATTTCTTTTGGTTGTCTTCTAAATATAGACTTAAAGACACTTCTCATTAGGCCAAAAAACATATATCTGCTCCTGAGTAAATTGGGAGCTTGGGGAGAGGGCTGAAGGGGAGGGGAGAGACAGCGAGGAGAGCAGAGAAAAAATGTAGAGCTCAATAAAAATCAATTAAAAAAAACCCATATATCTGGCTCTCTGGGTAGAGGAAAAAAATGTTCATGCTTTTTAACCCAAAGCTATCGTTTTTTTCTAGGACCCAAAGGTATGAGTCTATTCCCGCTGTTTTACAATGTGAATTTCAATACAGATTAATACTAATATATCTGAAATTTTACCTTTTTGTGAACTAAAAATTCATGTACGCTTCAGGGAGTCAAAGAAGTCATAGGACTTGGATCTACTTCTCACAAGTCAAGTGGACTCCAGATAAGCAGAGCCTAGGTTTTCCCACAACTGTTCCCAAGGATGGATTCTCTCTCCTGGTCTCGGGAATCCTCGCCTTCCCTAATCATTAGGTCTGTGGGCCTACAGGTTTCAAATGTAAGGTTTTCCTTTCCGTGACTAAAGTTTAACTTCTGTTTCTAGTCTGTATTTGTCTCAGCACACTTCTACTTGGCTGGTAGACACTCTCTAGGGATCACCTACGGATGGCAACCTGCTACCTCTGGACTTGCTGGAAGCTGATGTGGACCAGTCTGGCTGATGTGATGGCTCCCTGTCTCTTCAGCCTTGCTATCTAACCAGATGCTTCTGATGAATGCCTCATTGCCCAGCCTCTGACTAGCATTCTGTCCTTCCTGGGCCCTGGCAACAGCTTCCTGCTTTCTGCAGAAAACATTAACAGATGAGAGACCATCACCCTCAGCACAAGGCCGGAGTGCTGGGTCGAAGGGAGACTCCCTGGCACAGGGGAAAAAATGGCTACCTATAGTGCCAATTGGCATATAAGAAAAGTGGGCTCAGGTTTAGTGACAGGTAGGTTTATGAACTGAAATAATTCTACAGTATGAGAGGGCACTTGGCCTGCTTTATGCAGAACTAAGAGGTATTACACGGCTTTAAGAGAAAATTATTATCTCTATGCAAACCATCTGGGATTATAATCTGGCTGTACACAAAGAAATATTACTAAAAAGGGACCTGATATGAAAGAAATGGCTGGCGCCCCATCCATTTCCAGGCTCCTCCTAGGTTGTCGCTCTGATGTCAGCCATCACAGGGCCTCTGACCCTCCTGTTTCTGCTAATTACTGTTTGCCCTTGCATCACTGATGCCTCAGCTAGATGGGAATTCTTGTCTGGGTACCATTAAGCTGATGACTATTAGATCCCAATATAAACAGCACCCGTCACAGTGAAGGATTTAACTCAGGATACAACTCTAGAGGGAAAGGGAAGAGCCAAGTAGCAAGCCCACCTGCCCAAGGACCAGGTAACTTCAAGGAATGCTGGGAGTTGTAGTTCCCAGAAAATAACAAAGCCACGTGGGAAATATGGTTTTGTCCTTCAGAAGCCCCTACAACACTCATCTCATGGCCACTTGCTGAGATTCCTGAAGGTAGACCTAACCAGTACCCATCCTGGTCATGCCTGAGTTAAAACTGGCTTCAAACGGGCTCAAAATTTGTGGACCTGGGTTTTCTCCTGTGAATCTCAGGATTGACACCTGCTAGAATGGCCCATTAAGCCCTGCTTACAATGTTCAACTGCTCCTAGTCCAAAGTCCCAAAGTCTTCCACGTTCCTCTAAAAAACATGACCTGGCCTATCAAAGAAGCACCCAACTCCCCATATCAACGTCTGTCTCGGTCTCTTCTCTGTAGCTGTAACACCATGACCAAGGCAACTTGTAGAAGAAAGTTTATTTCATGCTTCCAGTTCCAGACAGTGATGCGGTTAGGGTTTCTACGGCCGTGACAAATCACCATGACCAAAAGGCAGGTTGGGGAGGAAAGGTTTATCTGTCTTGCACTTCCATCTGTACATCACTGACGGAAGGCAGGACAGGAGCTCAAGCAGGGCAGGGTCCTGGAGACAGGAACTGATGCAGAGGCCATGGAGGGGACATGCTTACTGGCTTGCTTCCCATGGCTTGCTCAACTCACCTTTGTCTTTATTTCATTATTTTTTTTTCATCTATTTTACATACCGACCATGGTTTCCCCTCCCTCCTCTCCTCCTGTTCCCTCCCCCCAACTCCCATCTACCCCCTCCCCATCCACTTCTCCTCTGTCTCCATTCAGAAATGGGCAGGCCTCCCATGGCTCAGCCCACCTTCTTATAGAACCCAGGACCAGTAGCGCAGGGACGGCACTACCCACCATGGGCTGGGCCCTCCTCATTGATCACTAAATGAGAAAATGACTTACAGCTGGGCCTCGTGGAGACATTTCCTTAACTGAGGCTCCTTCCTCTGATGACTCTAGCTTGGGTCAAGTTGACGCATGAAACCAGCCAGTTCAGAGAGTGAGTCCATGACCACTGTGGTGGGGAGCATGCCTCACGCAGGCAGGCATGGTGCAGGAGCAGCGGCTGAGCGCTTCCATCCTTATCCACAAGCACAGGCAGAGAGCGCTCACTGGGGTGGTGTGGTTTCTGAAACCTCCAAGCCCAGCCTCCACCTCTCCTGACAAGGCTACATCTCATAATCCTTCCCAAACAGTTCAACTGATGAGGCTATGGGAGCCATTCTCATTCACACCACCCCAGTGTGCCAAGAGCCACATGCAGATAAGGTCCCAGGACTTAGGGCTTCTGTGGTGCGGTATCCACCAGAAAAGACTGCTGGGCCACAGGTTCAAGCCAACAGAAAGTCTTTACTAGCCAGTCGGGGACTAGAGTGGAAGTTCGGGGCTCAAGTGCAGTCCAAAGCCTTTTTCAGGGTGAGTTTTTAACCACAAAACCCACATCATGGGTTGACACACTTAAGAAGAACTGTTAGTCAGAAACTGAACTACAGAAGTCAAAACAGCAGGTTAGAGGATTTCTGGACTTTCCCAGAACTACAGACGTTGATGGATTAGGTCTATGTTTTCATTCTGCAAGCGGTGCTGCCTGTGTGCCGAGTTCCAAAGTCTGAATGGTACTTCCATCATGGCGTCAGTTGTGCTAAGGTCTGGGGCCCACTAAGGTTCTGGGGGCTTGGTGTATGTCAGCTCAGCTTTCCAGTATAGATGCAGCTCAACCCAGAATGGGGAAGTGGGAGTGAGGCTGAGGTTTGGAATATTGGAATGAAAGGCAGCCAATAAGAACAGTGAAGGGAGCCCATGGCACGGTGGACTCTTAGCTGGTCCCCTGGGAGCTTCTGCCTCAAGACAGGTGGTGGTAACCCCCATCTGTACTTCAGTGCAGCCAAGGACCCCTGGGGAGCACTTGGTCCCATCAGTTCCCTACACCGGAGAGTCCCAAGAGCCCCGCAGATTGTCCTGTGGCTCCCCTTGGTCTTACCTCCTTTGTGGGAGGAGCCAGGGGAAGGGAAGGGTGGGAACCTGGCTGTTTCTTGGTTGCCTGTGTTTCCTGGTACACTGTTTTGGTGCAATCTCTGGGCTAGACCCTTCCGATTTGTGTCATGCACTGTGTCTGGAACTTCCTGAGGTTGCTGTAACTGGTCTGCAGTTTTGTGTTTTCCCACCTGTTCACAGGTAGGAAGGTGTAGAGTTGAGAGACAATTCCTACACTTTAAGATTCACCCCTTGGCCAGGTGGTAGTGGTGCATGCCTTTACTCCTAGCACTTGGGAGAGTTCCAGACCAGGGCTACACGGACAAACCTTGTCTCAAAAAATAAAGCACAACAAACAAGAAAGATCCACCCCTCAACACCTCCAGCACATCATTTGGCCCTCACTTCATCTCATGCCTGTGTTCCTGCCCCAAGCTACCAAGAACCTCTCTTAACCTCTGTCTCTTGCTGACTTAGCTGTCTCATGAGCAAACTCATGAGCAGATTGTGTGTGTGTGTGTGTGTGTGTGTGTGTGTGTGTGTGTGTCTGCCCTGGTGTGATGCCACACATCCCACCCACAAGTTTAACAGTGGAATCCACTAAGGCAGGGGAAGTCAAAGCCACCTGTCCTGCAAGATCTTCTATGAGATCAGACTGCTTTGGGGTTGAATTCCCTTTCCCCTTCCTCTCTCCCGTCCTGCACTGTGGAGTGGCCAGCGGGGAGGACCTTCTGCCTCCATCCTCTGAACAGTCCATGTGGTCTGCTGTACCCACATGCCACAGGCTCAGATTGTCCTAAAAGGGTTGGGCTCCAGAATAAGCCCTGCAGAGTAAGGACTTCTCAGTTCTTCGGGGCAGGCTCTGGCCAGAGAGCCTATCACTGTTGTGAAGGTTTGGAGGCTGGGCTCCTATGAGACCATTTGAGTGAGGGAGGCTGGGAGCAGACAGCTTTAGAGCAGAGACTTTGGCTCTGCTCCTGGGGTAGGTGGTACCTATCCTAACATCTGGCTCCCCTGAAAGATGGAGCAGACTTCTTTTCGTATGACAGGTGCTTGTGTGAATATTAAACGTGATAAAGGTTATCCCAAGCGGCAGGAATGATGTCACGATGGGAAACCCAGTCAAGGATGGGAATGATAAGGAAACAATGAGTTTCCCAGAAGCCACAGGCAAAAGGGAAATAACGCAGACACAGGCTTGCCCAAGAGGAGGGCACGTGCGGAAGGAAGTGAGGATAAAGACTCCTGAAGGGTGACTGGATATGCTACTGGGACAAAGGCGCCCATCTCAATCCTGTAACAGGGACAGATGAGGAGATCACAAATCAGCATAACGAGAGGACATACACTATGCAATTAGAGAAATACAAGCTGGGTGCTACACTCTGATGTGTGGTGTGGCGTAGTGCCAGGCACAGGACTGTGGGTAGTGGGCTCTGTGCTCGTGTTTTCTTACGGTACTATCATGTTGTGTGACCTGGGTGCGAACCCTTCCCTCTCTGTGCCTGTGTCTCCTGCTGGACACACCAGGATGTAGGTATGAACGAGCATAGTTGGTGGTGGTGCCTGTCAGGTGTTTGATTCTGTACCTGTGTAAATGAAGTAGAGGCTGGAGAACCTGGTAGGGGGATGTCTCCTCAGAGCCTCTGCCCACCCCTTCCAGCACTGATGATCTCGAAGCCTGCCATTCGGCTGGGCTGCACTTTGGAGGAGAACTTGGGCAAAGTGTGGGTGAACGGAGGTGTGACATACTCTGCTAAGTGGGGCTCCTCAGTTACACTCCCAAAGCACCAGTCTTCCGGCTTATGATTGGGAAGGAGCAGCCTTGGACCAGTAGAGCGATATTTACTTGGGCTGATGGTGCCGGCTGGAGCCTTCCCCGTGTGGAGCCAGGTGATTCCTGACCCATCACTGGGTGGCTTTGCTGCCCACATTCTGGATGAGACCCCTGATTTTCTGAGGCTGGTGTGGATAGTCCCTTTAGAGCCAGAAGTTGGTATATGAATCTGCTTCACTCTCCCTAGGAGAGGTTTTTGAATGGCTGGCATCTGACCTTGAGGTCCCTCTGCACCCAGGGAGGGTGGAGCCGGTCAGGGAGCAGGGCTTTTGCGCTGGTGTACACTGTGTACTTGGTTCACCGGCAGCAGGGGTGGGCGGAGCACAGTTGTGGTCTCGCCTCTCTCACCAGCAGAGGTGGAGCGCTGCCCCCTCCCCCTCCCAATCTTCCCTGTTCAGAGGAAAACCTTCTGTGCTCCTTGATAGTCAAGGCTTCTGTGACAATCTTCCTGCCAACCAGGGGAGAAACAGAGTGGAATGTACAGAACCGGTCTTCCAAGCAGCATTGCAAGGGCCGAATCTTTGCTAGAGTCCCTGACAGGAGAGTAGTGACAGGCACGTGATGGCTTCTGCCCCAGGCCCAGTGTGCTAGCGACACTTCTGGTTACCAAAAGTCTAGGGTTTAGGCTGCGGACCCACTATGGAGGGTGGCATTGAAGGTCAGCCACCCTCCATAGCCTCTTTTTGGTCACCCCTGATAGAAGTTGTCACATGCAATTGTGTTGTCCCCCGTGGCCTGGGCTGGAGGCTCTGTGCCTGGCCCTCCTTTGCTGGCTTCTGTCAGTGTCCTGTGCTACCAAACTGCGAATGATCCCGCCAGCCCCACTGTGCTTCCTGTGAGCGGCTACATTTGAGGTGGCCCAGGAGTCGCCAAACTCACTGTTACAATAGGCTTTCCTGTGGCATTGCTCTACTGACAGCTAGGAACATGGAGACTTGGGGAGAGCTGGCTAGGAGCCACCCTGGCTCTGTGCTGACCATGATGGCGCCCCCAACTATCTCCCTCCTCCCGTTGCCGTCAGCTAGGAAAGGGACAGAGGCATGACACACACTGTTCCTAACCAGACTTTATTTGGTGGCTATGGGCCTAGCATGGTGCTGGGGACCTGGGCTCTACCAGAGCCTACATTGGGTACTACAGGGTCACAGCTCCTACTAGGTAGAGGGCCATCAAGGAGGAGGGAAGTTGAGAACGAGGCCCGTCCATCTGAGGTGGGTCCAACTGGGCCTCAGCCATGAGGAGTCAGGGAGGCCAGAGGCAGGCTGGGGTGGGAAGCTGTTGGTTGGAGGCTGACCTGGAAAGCCATCCCTGCTAACCTTGGCCTCACCAGCATCCCAGCAATATGCTCTGCCAAGTCAAGTCAGGTGTGGATGCCAGGGGAGGGGCCTCCTCCATGTCATAGCAGGGGTAAGTACACATCCTTTTATTAGTATATTGAAAAGACAGCTGTGTACCAAAGTCTCTAGAAAAGGGGTATTGTCCTTTACAAGAAGTGAGGGGAGGGGGGCACTAGGCTCCTTAACAGGGCCTCGGTAGGGGTCAGTCTCGGCCCGAAGTGCACCAGGCAGCTAGAAACAGGAGAGAGAGATAGCAGTCAGTGGCTGGGCTTGTGGAGATCAAGGCTCCTTCCATGGAGGCTGGGGTGGCTGTGGGCAGGAGCGGGCAGAATGGGTAGGTGGGGGCGCCTTGGGCAGAGTTGTAGGCCAGGCTTTGCAACCCTGTGCTGCTCACTCAAGTCTGGGGTGAGGGGTAGGAGGGCCTAGCTGCTCTCTAGGAAGACATACTTCCTAAGCTTCTCACGTGAGTCCCCACATGTGCCCACTGGTGCCCTGGCCTCGCCCTGTCTTTCTCTATCCACCAAGCCTTGGGTCAGGAACATGCATCTGGACAAAGATTCTTGGTCATGAGTGAGCAAGAAGCCCCTGTAGGTCTGGGACCCTTCACAGTGGCTGGTGCTGCTTAGAGACCTGGGGCACCCCACCCCAGTGGCCGTTTTGTCCCTGGCCCGCTACCTGGCACGGAGATCTGAGAGAGTGCCTCAGGCTGGCTCAGGGTGTCAACCTTGACATGTCGGAAGGCCTTGCACACGGGACTCTGCAGGTGCCTGCAAGCCAGGAGCATGATTAGTCCGGGGGTATGTCTTGGAGAAGGGGTAAGGGGAACTCTAGGTGCGGGCCCAGGTTCAGTCCTGCTCTGTCTGGGGGAGGGGCTGTGACCTTGTGAGCATCTGTCCAGGAAGGCCTTTGGTTCTAGACTGCCCACGGGAACAAGATCAGACCTCTAGCCTGACCTGTTCCCTCCCAATTAGCTGCAGTGTCAGGGGAAGGACTTAATCCTCTGCAGATGACAGCAACACTGCCCCTGGAGGCTTGAGCACCAGTGTCCAGCCAGCCCTGTGTGCCCACTCCTCCCTGCAGCACCCGCGTCTCCTCCATCTCACAGCCCTCGGTATTCACTGTGGGGAAGAACAGGGGCCAGAGTGACCCCTCTGTGTTGGGGTTGTACGTGGAGAACTGGAAACCTCTGCAAACACAGTGCTGTGTCCCCATCTTAGGAGGTCAGGGAAGTGCCTGGGCTGTGTTCTGAACTGGCGCAGTATCCCTGCGCTCAGCCCCACAGCCCTCGGCAACGCTACTGATAGCAAGGCTCCAGGACCCAGCACCTGACGGCAGCAGGGGTGGCCTTCGAGCAGAGATTTCCATGCATGGCGCCATATGAAGACCCTGGGTCAGGGGTCTCACTAGAAACCCTGCTGCCTCTGGGTGAAAGGCACAAGTTCGCCAGGGAAGGAAGCTTGCCCGGATGGAAAAGCCTCTGCAACCAGATGCCAGGCTCTTCACCATCCTCCCCACGCTCTCCTCTCTGGACAGGAGCCTAGAGCCAGCCAGTCCCATCTTACCATAGCCCCACCCCCAGGCCATGGGGTAGAGACAGCGCTGTACCAACCTCTTCCACTCCTCCTCTGTCTCCCAGAACTCGTAGATGACGAAGGTGAGGCCGTCTGCCATCCTCACCGCGGCAACGCTGCAGGGAAATGACACGCACATGTGTGGCTGGCAGTGTGAGTAACAGTGGTCACGCTGGGTGAGTGGAACATGAACCAGAACGGCCTCAACACAGCATGTTTCTCTATTCACCCTCCCGAAACACTGTCTGCTTGATAGATGAGTGAGCCCAGGCCTGTTGGTGAACTAATTCACCCACCACCTACAGTGGTGCAATGGGGCTGGGCCTCACTTTTCTTCCCTGTCACGCGCCACCCCTAGGAGGGCTGGCTCTGCAGGGTCCCCCGTTGCTGCCTGCCAGAGGCCCTGGTCCCCCCACCCCCAGCTCCACAGAGAGCCTTGTCACTTACTGGAAACAATTCCTTTCTCCAGCGGTGCCGCGGAGGTACTGCCGCAAGGAGTCCAGGAACTCACTCAGCTGCTCAGGGCACACGGCCATTTCTTGCCGGACCAGCTGCAGGTGCTGTGGGCCAAAGTGGGAATGAGCATGTGTGCCAAGCCCTTGCCCAGCCATGTGGGCATAGTTGAAATCCCAGCAGCCCGGACCTTGCTTCCGAGAGGTCAGGACAGTAGGGTCAAATAAAACCCTATTTTCTTCTTACACGTGCAAATCAGTTAAAGGAGGATGGGGACAGATGGGTACAGTCCCCGAGGGGCCCCCACAAACAGGGCAGCAGGAATGCTGCAGGGAGCCCCATCCAGAGGCACAGCTGGTGACCAGCAGGCCTTCAGTCTGATGACAGAGTGGGCCAGATGCTTGCCCTGCTCCAGGCCAGGTGCGTTTTATATCAGAGTCCTGGAGCCTCGGCTCACCATGCCCCTTGGGGAGGAGAGGGCAGAGAAGGGCTGCCAGAGACATGGAGCTCCGACACTCCTCAGAGGGCTGGAGGAAGAAGTCAGAAGAGAGGCATAGAGGGTCTTACCATGTCCGTTCCTTCTTCATCTGAGAGGCGCTGCTGCAGGTCAAACCAGAGGGTCTAGAACAAAGCGCAGTGGGGCCTGTGACTCAGGCCACCTCCAGGGAGCCTCCCAAGGCCCCACCCAGGGCATGGGGTACCTGGGATCCCCAGGGTTACAGCCCCTGTTCCAATGTTCCAAGGATTCTGAGATCTCCCAGGCTAGAAGATGGCTCCCACGGCCAGGCCTAGTGGATAAGGCTGCTCCCAGGCATTGAGCAGCATCAAGGGGGACCCTGAAGCCAGAGAGTCAGGGAAATGGCAGAGAACTCCTTGTGGCCCAGACTTCTGAAGCACTGGGAGGCTCAGAGATCAAGATGGACTCTCAAGAAACTAGGGGTGTGTGGGTGGGGCAGGGCAATCTTAATAATAGGCACTCATGGGGCCAGGCCAAAATCAAGATATTGGTTTTTCTTTTTTTTTTTTCAAACCAGAATTTCATAAGAGCCCTAAGACCTATAACTTGCTTACCTCACCCCTAGCAGTGGCCCTATTTCCCATCCACCCTGAGCCAGCCGCTGCCTGCTGTGTGATTCGGGAATGCAGAAGCCATGCCGGCTCTGTGGGTCACCAGTACCTGGCACCCAAGACAGAGCCAAGCACACACTGAAGTTCAGTCACGGCTATGTCATAGCACAGAACCCTGGGACTCTAAAGGGTCCCCACATGGGTTAAGCATTAGGGCTTGGTTTTAAACCCGTGTCTCAACCCCACCTGACAGAAATCCATTCTTCCTTCAGTGTGATTGCCCCATAACTACAGCCTGCATGCCTGTCTGCCCTGCCTGAAGCCAGGAGGTGCTAACCAGCGCACACATAAGCAAGCAAGAGGCGCATCCCCTATTAAACACAACAGCGGTGGCTGATGGACCGGCGGTTCTCAACCGTCTGAACGAGGGCCTGCCTCGGAATCACACCTTCAGCCTCCGCTGACCTCTTGCCCACACATCTCAAGAAAGTGCCCAGTAGGGAAGATGTGTTCGCGGGTTCAAGCTTGCTTCTGTCACTTACCAGGCACACGGCAGCCCTTGGGGGGCTGAGGCCCCACCGGGGGCCCTTTGGCCTCTCCAGAGTCAGATGGTGTGCCCAGCAGTACCCAGACCTGCATCTCTATCCTCCTTGCCCTCCAGGCACAGTTGGAGCCGTTGCTTGGCCAGCTGGGGGCCCAGCCTGGAGCTGACTTGAATCTACCCATACTAGTGACTTAGGCCAATCAAAGACCTTGGTGGACCCCGCCCCATCTCCAGGATGCCTAGGTGCTCCTGGTTACCAGCAAGCCTGGTTGTTAGGGCGACGGGGTACTAAAAATAAGCTTCAAAAAGCCTCCCTCCTGGGGCCCCCACTGAGTTGTTATGACAACCAGGCACAAGGTCCCCACCACGCTGCTCTCACCCTGGGCAGGGCAGCAGGCTTAAAAGGGGTGTGGGAGGGGGGACCCCCGCTTCCGCCACAGCCCTGCAGCTGAGCCACCACCAACAGCCTTTTTTTCTCCCGTCAGACTGCTTTGCAGTGAGAAGGCCCTTGCTTCATGCCCATGAGTCCCTCGGAACAAAGCCCTCCCCCCACCCCAACCCAGCTAAGTACCAGAGCTCCTTGCAAAAGAAATACAGAAAAACAGAAGAAATGTCACCGCGATCCCAGGTCTCTGAGACACCTGTCACTCGGTGTAGGCATGGCGTGGGAGCCCTGTGCACACGCGTGGGGAAGTCGGGGGAACGATGACTTAGCAGCGATCAGGCCAGAGGCAGCCGGGGACAGCAGACGCCATCCTGAGCCACCTGCACCTTGGTGAGGAGCACTGAGCTCCTGAGTGTCTCCACTGTCATCGGAGCAGGAATCTCAGGCTCAGAGAGGGGAGTAAGCCACCGACTCAAAGCCAAGCAGCAGGAACTCGGCTCAAATCGAGGAACACCCGAGCCCACCCATCTGCAAGCCCCTTTGCGAGTCCTGCGAGTTACGCACTGGCCCTAGGAATGTCTCTGTGGAGGCTGCACGGCTCCGCACCTCTGGACTGTGTTGTGCTGGCTGTCAGCGTTCTCCCGTTGGGAACCTGCCCTGAACCATCGCGGGCTCCCATTCACATCGGCTTTTGGCCTCCAGTCTTGGAGCTGGCTTTCTTGGAAATGTCCACAGCACGGGATCCTACCGGTTACTCTCTGGACCTGGAATGCTGCTTGCCCTCCCATCGTCAGGACCATGGCCCCAGTCCAGCTCTCTTCAACCTCCAACCCACTAGGGTGCCTGTGTCCTGACCTCAGCCTCTCCACAGCTCTCACGTGGATGGGGTGGGGAGCCTACCTTGCTCTCCAGTCTCCCAATCAGCTCTGCCAACCGGCTTATCTGACCCTCCAGCCCTTCCTCCTTTGGCTCCCCTGTGGCTGAGAAAGAAAGAAAGAGATCCTGATGGTAGGCAGGGCCATCCTAATGGGGCAGAGCCCAAAGCCCGGCTAGGCCATAGTACAGATTCCTTGGGTCCCCTCGGAGGGCAGTGACCATCAATGATACTCTCTCACCCACAGGCAGGCTTCTCCCTGGCTCCGGGGCTGCCAGCTTGTGGTTGACGATGTAGGGAGGACTGGGGCCTCCATAGTGACTCTCGGTGATGCCGTGGCTGGGTTTGCAGTGCACCTGTCTGCAGTGTGTACAGAAGAAACGAGGTGTTGGTGAGGGCAACGGTAGGGCCACGGCCACCTCTGCGACCTTTGCCATGCACTTAGGAAGTACTGACCGTGTCCTGAAATGTGCACAGACCTGCCCTACGGGCCCATGTCTGCGGGACAGTCAGGGTGGCCTTCGTTTTCACAGAGGAGGAAACAAGACCCACGAGGCAGGTGACCTGACCAAGGCCATGTGGTCAGCTGGGGCATAACTCCATGCCAAGATTCTAGAGGCCAAGTCCTGTCCCCCACAGGCTCATTTCCACGGCTAGGAAGGTTGGGCCAGGAACCTATCTGGCTGATCTCATAGCTCATAGCTTCCAGTCAGTACAGGTCAACCCCAGGCTAGAGACACACAGTGTCTCTTCCTCCCTCCCTGCCTCAGTAGAGGCCACGGTGCTGTGGAGTGACTTCTGGGGAAGACCTGGGTTTTTGCCAGAGAGACATCCCACCTCCAACAAAGCAGCAAGAAAAAACTCTGAGCCTGGCCAGGGCCAGATTCCATCTCTTGTCCCCATGTCCCCTTCCCCTGAACCCTCCACCCCTAGCACGGCACCCAGCAGGGTCTCCAAAGATGCGGGTAAACAGCTAATTCCTTATGCACAAAGATGGGCTTGCAAAACCGACTACCGACACACCAGTCAACGGGCATGTGACTGACACCCCACACACCTGACCCTTTAGTACAGTTTGAATTTGTTTCCTGTGACCCCTGAAAAGTTTAACAAGTCTTTTTCCCGTGTTGAAGAAGCAGGCTCAGCTCCCCTAGCGAGACAAAGTTGGCGGAGGCTTTGAGCTGTCAATCACAGTATCTTTACAAACCAGTAACAAACTCAGGGTGACCCTTAGACCACGAAGAGCTGAGTGGGAGGCCCCTCAAACAGCAGGGTCTGTATAAGCTTCTCCCGGAACGCAGCACCCCTGGGGGCTGGTCCAGGGTAGGGACACAGGGTAGCGCCAGGGAACTCGGGGCCTGGAGCCAAAAGTGTTTAGATGTGGGGCAGTTTGAGGTGTCTGTGGGCATGGAACAGATTTCTCATCAAGACACACCACCCACTCCTTCCACTGACATCCCAGAGTTATCCCCTCCCAGGTGGGGGCAGGCGAGCGAGTGGAACTGTGGTTGGAGCCCGGAGCAGCCAGCAGCGAGCAGAGCAGCGTAGGAAGGCAGCCAGGAAAATTGCCCAAGGCTGCTATCTATCTACATCAGGAGAAAAAGGGAAGTTTGATTAAACTGATAATAATAAATCAATAAAGGGAAAGCTGTCTGTCCCCAGGAAGGTGGCTGCTGACCCTGGGGACTTGGGATCGCAAGGCTGCCCACGTGGACAGAGTAATGAGCTGACTTTCAAGTGCCGACAGCCAACACATTTGGCCACGGTGTCATGAAGAACCAGCCCCTCACAACCCCATCTGATTGATGTCCTCACCAACCAAGTGGCACCCACTCAAACCCCACCCCCACAGAAAAAGAACATCCCAGTCACACTGTGCCTCTCTGCCAGACACCCTGAAGTTGTACAAAGATAAAGTCGAGGCCGGAGAGCCCAGGGGTATGGGCCCCCTGGCAGCTGCCCACCTGTGGTATGTACCCATTTCCCCTCTACTGCTCTGAGCAGACAAGAGTTTGCTCAGCCAGCTATGGGCAGCATGCGGGTGAGCTCAAAGCTGAGCAGGCCCCACTTAGCAGGACAGACTGAAGTGTCCCAGTCCAGGCACCAGATACACAGCACCCATAGTGCCCACGAGACCCCCCCAGGTGCTTGCCTGTGTACCCAGAGACCAAAAGAGCAACACCCCAAACTCCGTCCCTCTCCTGGACCTTCTTCAGCATAGTTTGATCCCTACCCTGCCCTCAGTAGCTTCCTCCATCTCTACAACTCCTCCAGGTAACAAAGATGGGAGTCCTTGGGGATCCATAGGGTGCCTGGCAAGAACACGCATCCCTCTGGGTACTCCAATTCTAGCATGTGGCACTTGTGTCCCCATCCTGAAGCCAGATACCACTTCCCAAACTGGTTTCCCATGTTCAGAAGTAGGCTGGGCTGCAGGTTGACGTTGTGGGAACAAGAACCGTGGCAAGATCTACAGGTCTTAGGAGTACAGGGCCTGTAACAGCCGTTCTCCTGAGTGTGTTCTGTCCTGTGTAAGTCTCACAACTCAGGTACGAGGTCCTAAGTGTGTCCTCATACTGCAGTTGGAGAAACTGGAGGAGGGAAAGGGAGGTGCAGCCACCTGGCCAAGGTCACCAAGATTTGCGGTACACTAAGGGTCAGGCTGCCAGGAGCACCCCCATATGTCCCACTGACATACCGGATCTGGCTGGTCTGTTCCTCAATGGCTTCCACAGCACTTTCCACGGAGCTGAGCAGCGACTGGATCTGATTGGCTGTCTCCTTCAGAAGGAAGCGGGTCACAAACTGGTCCACATTGCTCCCACCTTCATACACCTGGGGGTGTTGGGAGAGAGCCTGGATGTGGGCTGGCACAGGGACTGGGGACACCTTGGGCTAGCGACTCTGCTTTGTGGTGGCCTGCACTGCCTCCTGCATCTTAGAGGCTGCAGAGCCTACAGAGCAGGGCCCCAGACTCAGAGGCCAAAGCAGGACCTCTGGCTTCACTGGGATCACCTCTCCAGGCCCAGCCGTCTGGGACCAGAGGAGTATAAGATGCAGGGCACAGTGTCCATCACACGACCAAGCGTGAACTTCAGCTGCTGAGACAAAGGTGGCAGCAGCGGTGACAGTGATAACAATGCTGGCGATGGTACTGGTGAGCCAATGATGGCAATGTCAATGTCAATGGGGAAGACGGCCATGGAGGTGTTGGTGACGGTGATGACGGTGATGATGATGGTGGTGATGACGGTGATGATGGTGATAACGGAATGGAGAGGTTGGTGATGATGATGGTGATGGGGGTGGTGACGATGCTGGTGACTGTGATGGTGTTAATAATGGTGGTGGTGTTCATGATGCTAATGCCAATGGTGGTGATGACCGTAATGACAGTAAAAATGCCAGCCATCACTGAGAGGCATTTTTGTTGCTGGAGTAGAGAGAAAGCACCAGGAGAGATGGCCTCGTGGACTCCGCTCCCTTCTTCCTTCTACAAGAATTCTTTGTGTCCCTGAGTCTTCATGTTGCTCCTCCGACTACTAACGGAAGAAATCCTCTGAGGCCTGTGCTCAGAAGTGAGGGCACAAGAGTAGGGGATGCGGAGAGGTGGGCAGGGGCACATGACGAGGAGCAGCGAGCTTTGGAGAGAGGAGGATGCTGCGTGGTGTGCACTGCACGGTGTGCAGCAGAACCTCTCCTCTGGCAAGACGTCAGTACTGGCGTCCCTCATTGAGACGCCTGCCTCTGCAGAAGGTTGCAGAGAAGACGGGAGAGGCGTGGCTTTTTAGGGTCACCAGTGGTGCAGAGGTAACCACCGCTGGGGAGGGCGCTGGGGGAGAGGTGCTGGACCTCAACCGCCACCCTACTCTCTGGAGTGGCCCCTCCCCGTGTACACTGGAACTCTGCCCAGTCCCTGGCAAAGCAGTGGGGAAACAAGGCTCTCAAGAAAAGCAAATTAAACTATCTATCACTCTGACTGGGAATTAATTAGCAATAATTACACATTGGGAAACATGGCTGGAAGACAGAGCCTGAGGAACAAGGCGTGGGGGTGGCGCAGGGGAGAGTACACGAAGATAGACATTCTGTCCTGAGGTCTGGCTTGGCGCCACTGTGGGCAGACCCCAGTGGAGAAGACATCCTAGCCCCTAGTCCAAGGTGCAGGCAGCTCCCGGCTGTCTTTCTAACAACCTGACGCCACCCATGGACTGGAGAGCAATGGACTCTGACAATTGATTACCTCCAAATGACCGAGATGACATAACATGGTTTAAAACTAAATTAATAGCCCCCCAGAAAAAGGCTGCTAGGAAGGTTCTAAGCAGGACAGGAATGGGACTTGAGGTCACAGCGTTCAGACCAGGGACCGACAAGGCAGTCAGCAAATGCAGAAAATGCGAATTGCAAAGCCAGGCCACCTTCTGGGGTGAGGAATGCAATGGAGACATGACCCTTTTCTGCTCAGCCAAGAGGCGAAGCTCCTCAGTGAAAAGCCAGAGGGGCTGTTGTGCTGGCACCCTGTGACAAACCATTTGCAGGTCGCTGGGAGCTGCCCAGAGCCCTGCAGAGCTTTTGATTTGCCAGGTGAGAGCTATCATCCATCCAGACTTGAGCCACAGAAAAAGATCCCACAAGAGGGAAGCTGTGTGAGCAATGGCTTCTGAGGTAAAAAAAGAAAAACATTAGTCACTAATTTATTTATTGGTGTGTGTGTGTGTGTGTGTGTGTGTGTGTGTGTGTGCATGTGTGTGTTTGTGCCATGATGCGTGTATGGAGGTCAGAGGATGACCTGCGGAAGTCTGCTCTTGCTCTTCACCATGCGGGTCCTTGGGATTGAACTCAGGGCATTTAGGTTTGGTAGTAATTCCCTTGAAAAGAGCTGAGCTGTCTCAATGATCAGATTAACTCAGACAATTCAGATGACATCCTCCCATTTCAGAATTCCTTCATCCCCAAAGTCAACAGGAAATGTTTTTAATGCCCTAAGAAAATAGGATTGAAAATTTTTTTCTTTTCTTTTTTCTTTCTTTTTGGTGTGTGTGAGTCTCTCTCTCTCTCTCTCTCTCTCTCTCTCTCTCTCTCTCTCTCTCTCTCTCT